AGCGGCTGCGCCTATTGCAAATGTATTGGCAATTGTGAATGCGACACACGAAGCGCGAACGTTGCTTAGCACATAAACTCGAGTAGTTGCAGTTGCAGTAGCCACCAGCGACTGTCCGGCTGGCCAAGTCGATTCACAACTAAGCGAAAGTGATCGATTTTGCAGTAGGCGTGGCTCTGAGTGGGCCTTGCGCCACAATGTGGCGTTGTCGTTGGCGGCGGCTGTACGTCGTCTCGTGGTCTAGTTGCTGCCACTAGCAACACAAAAAAAAAGATCTCAGATACTAGCTGCAACTCGAAGAAACTGCTGCTGCTGCTATGAATGGCTTGTTGTGTGCCGCGCCGTGCTGCAGTGTGTCTGTCGGTTATGCAACATTCTCGGTTTGACCCACTTTCCCGATCGCTGAAGTTTTTCTTGAGTTTGTTGCTGGGCAGCATTCACTTTAGGCAACTTAAATGCAAATATAGTTTATGCCCGTAGACTGCTGGCAAAACCTGGAACAATATTGAGACATATTGAGGAACAAACTAAAGGAATTCCTTAGTCACAGGCCCCACCAACGGTTCCTGCACCAATTGCAAACACACACAACGGGTGAGCACCCGTGCAAGTAAATTTTGTGTAAATTATTTGAAAGTTTGCTGCCAATTAACATTTTGAAAAGTTGCCCGAATGTTGATCAAATCGTGTGCCACAAGTGTCATATTGCCAGTCATAACGAGAGAGCAAAACTGGCGTGCTGCTGTGCTGCTGTGCTGCTGTGCTGCTGCGTGCCCCGACAGTCAAGTTACAGGTGGCTACTGAGGGGATGGATCATGGGGCATGCTTCAGCTCTATTCCGCTGTGTTGCCTTTTTTGGCAGAGTTGCACTTTGCGCAACATTTATGACAGAATGCTGAACTAATTGAACAATTTGCACAAACACCACTAGAAATGATTCTGTGAATGCTTTCTATCCATAGCTTAATCTCCAGTCTCGCCCCTGGCTGAACATTCTCCTGCAAATAGTTGAAAGAAAAAGCGAAAAACCAGTGCACCATTGTACACTCGATTGTGTGTGTGTGTGTGTGTGTGTTATACATTGTGCACAAAGCCAGTCGATAGTCATGTTGCATAATAGCCAAAAAGCTTTGCGAGCCACAGAGCTCTACTTAGTATTTGAATGTGGCCGACGGCTTTGAAAAGGAAAGCAATCGGGCAAGAGGTACCGAGATACGATCCATGGGGGCACAAGGCATGAGGCATGAGGCAAGAGTAAGCGCTGCATATTTCCTGTTTTGTGGTACACACAAAAATAGGTTCACTACTGCTACTGCTGCTGCTTATTTCATTTTTGATTTCTTTGCTAAGCAAATCTGTTTCCCCGCAAATCTGTCATGCCGCTGAGCGTTGAAATTCGAAATTGGTTCATTTTGATTGCACGAAGAGCTCTAACAAAGCCCTCAGTTATGGGCGCCTTCCGTTTGCGAACAGCACAGAAATCTCTTGATAATAACTAAATAAAACTTGAACTAAGATGGGAAGCAATAAAGGCAGTTATGGAGTAGCCAAAAGAGAAGTAGAACCAAACAGTTTCCTATCCACTATCCATGACTGCGATCCAGAGCTTAGTGCCAGGAAAAGCCAGCTGCTGCTTCGACTGAAAACTGATGCCACTTCTGTGGGCTTCCTCCTGCGCGTGCACATGCAAAGCGAAATGGAATGGGTTTGGTTTGTTTGCTTGTGGCTGGTCAGCTGGGAAATGTTTCGTAATAGAAGAAAAGTTGGAGTGGGGCAATTGGAGCAGTCGCCTTTGGCTTAAGGCTCAAATCCCAGCTGAATGATTTATTTTTGCCGCGATGAGCGTGCGTTTACCGCACCCGAATATCAGCGAAAGACTTAGGCAACGAACTTGTTAGCTGCCTGCTGGCCACGTTTAATTAAAAGTTCAAAGCGGGCACGCGAACAAATAAATTGAGACATGAATTGAGGCGGCAGTTGCAGTTTTACTCTTGCTTTATTCTTGCCTTCCTGTCGACCGATTTGTATAGGGTCAGAAGGCTCATTACGTTAGCCATAAAACGGTTTTCGAGGCTGCCACCAAATGAGGTGGCAATTAGTGCAATTTTTCGCGCCATTTGTCTACATTTGGCCATGCTATTGGCGGTTGCCAACATTTATGGCTGCAAATAAGTCAGAGGCAGTGTTGAAATGCCAAATCGCCGCCGCCAACTTATGGATTAAAGACCATACAGCTCTGACGCATCGACAGGGGACAGGGGACAGGGGAGCATTGGACCTAGAGGAGCATCTGTCGAGGGAGACACTAAATAAATGGCGCTTTACATAAATTAACGCCTTGTGCACGGAAACGCTCAATCAACACAAACAATCGAGTGATATACGACATACAGCGTGGATTCTCATGGTTTGAACTCTTTGCCAGCAGCAGCACCGGGCAGGCAGGCTCACTTATAAATATTCAACGACAATCTTATTGATTTGAAATGCTCAACATCTTTTTTAAGCAGCGGCATTCAAATAAAATTGATAATAAAATGCCACACGCTGATCTTCAGCAAGTTTTTACAGACCAAACGGCAGGCAGTCGGACTTGTGTCGCTGAGGTACGTGACACCCGATAGCCAGGTGTTTTATGGCACTGCTCTCAGCTGCTCATCAAGGGGTGCCGTGCCTATGGCACAAAAGCTGCGCCACGCTGCTCAGTTCATCATAGCTTTATGAGCTTTATGAGCTTTATTAGCTTTCAAAGCCAAACAAACCCAATCAGGCTTTGCGCCTTAGCTTTGACTTTGCTTTGTACAGAAAAACAATCAGAAGTGCGGCTTGCTGGCTGCCTAATACAAATTTCAGCCGATGGGCAGCTCTAGGCTCTTGCATGGCCAATGGCCGTTGCCAATTGATTTGCTTTCGTTGTGCGCCACCGACGTTGTGTGTCGTGTATGTCATTCAAATCATTCACACGGTTTCTGTAGCACTTACACTTGCGAATAGTCGGACTGCCGCGCGTTAATTACACAATTGTGGAGCGTGCCGTGTCTTCTGCATGCTAAGTAGCTGATGTCTAGAAGCCTTGACACCATTTTGTGTTTACTTTGCGAATATTAGATCACAGTTGCGCTCTGCAACTGAATGAAGCAGTTAGGCGCTGTCATGCAGAAGGGACGGGAGAAGGCCTCCTAAAAGTGAATGTCAAAAGTTTTAGGGAAAGGCTGGGTTTGTCCGTGTTGCGCATTCAATTTAACGTACCTCTTGTGCCCATGGATACGTGGGTAGAACCAGCACCATCAAGCTATAAGCCCTCTTATAGTGCAGAGTTTCTTATAGTTCACAACACAATGGCGTGTGTCTGGCAAAGCGGATTATGCAGTTCTGAATTTGTGCATTTTCTGGCAGCTTTCGATTGAATGGCTCGTGGCAAGCTTGCTCAATTTATTAGTTATCGCACAGTCATAAAGCAAAGACTAATAAAAGCAGAAAACCAGTTGAATTGAAGCCTTACTTCAATGTAAGTGCTGTAAGCGCGGAGCAGCCAGGCTGCAATTGAATTCAAATTGGACCTCAATTGTTCAGCGTAATCAGTTTTATATGCAGTTTGTATGGGGGGTTTTTGGTACTCATTCTGCCTTGAGTCTTGATCACATTGCGATTTGAGGTCAGCTCTGACTTTTGGGTGCAGTTACCTTTTCTTAAGCATAAACCCCAGATTATAACGGCACGTTTTTAAAATTAAAAGTTTGTTTTTTGCCAGCGGAATTGTCACCACTTGATGGCTGATTCAGCGGCGACCGATTTGGATCGCTGTTACGGCTTAAGTCTTTGCGCTTGGGGATGCTGGCAGTCTGCTATAATGGCCACATATTACGGTTGTTATGCAACCACATGTACCGTTCTTTTGCCTGCTATCACATGTGGGTTGTCGCTGCTCAATTAACATTCCGGCGTCGCCGGCGCGCCACAAAGATACAAATAAAACCATTGAGCTCCGTCTGCAAAGCGCTTGTTCGAGGGGAATAAACTTTAAATGAGTTTCGAGTATACATATACATATATGTATGTGTGCATGTACTCCCACAGGTTGACTACCATATTCAAAGGGCGTGAAGCCGAATCAGAACTAATACAATTCTGAGACACAACTTTTATCCCAATCAAGATCAATCTGGTCATAAGTCGAGCGCTATGAATGGACTATCCAGATTTCCTGTTTGATTTATTGAACACCACATTGAGCCACTCATTTTATGTTTATTATTTAAAAGAATATACAAGCTTCATGTTGTTCAAGTGGCATTTTGTTAAATTTAGAAGGTCAACGGCACCAACAAAAAACTCTGCAACATCACACACATCGACAAATAAAAACGTGACAGGCCTTTATGCAGTTTCGGCGATATACTCAAAGAAGCGCAACTGCAATAACAGCGCTGCTGCTGCTGCTGCTGCTGCTGCCACTGTTGACCCCTTTATGTACGTTGCGGCTGCTGCTGATGCCAAGAATGCGACACCGGCGCTGCTTTAACTGTCACAGCAACGAACAGATATGTACATATATTTTGGCCCGATTAAAGTTTGTTTTCAGTTGTGTCGGATCCTAATATTGTTTGCCGCGTATCCCTGGTTATTCACTACGAAATTGCTTGCAGTCTTCACTTTCTTTGTCTTCTTTGCACTTTACCGTTTGTTATTGGTCACTGCTTATACCATCGCCATGCACTCACCGTTTGGTCCCCTGTTTGTCTCATAGCAGTGTTGTTGTTGTTAGTGTTTGGGAGAGCGAGCGCAGGGAGAGCGATGATGTTCAATGACAGCACAAAAGGGAGACGGTAATTAGAGAACATCGAGCGAGCGAGAGAGAGAGGGAGAACCGAAAGAGCGTTACAGGCTGCGAGTCTGAAAGGCATGGTTCTAAATGCTCTCATAAAAGATGTGCAATATAATAAAAGCATCTTTATTATTAAATAATATTAATTTAAAATCTCTTTACATTGCATTTGCAGGACCCACAGAAGCTCAAGGCAAACGCTCCTCACGCATCACCAGCTCTCGCAGCTTTGGCACCAACGTCAAGTCCACAAGCTCCAATGGCCTCAGCTTCGACTGCCCCGAGGAGTTCGGCTACTATCCGCACCCCACGGACTGCACACAGTACTACGTGTGTGTGTTCGGTGGGGCACTACTTGAGAGCTGCACCGGCGGCCTTATGTACTCGCACGAACTACAGACCTGTGACTGGCCACGGAACGTGGGCTGCGAGTTGGTGGACACTTCCACGGAGCGCGGCCCGGCACGTGGCCAGAGCCAGACGCAGCAGCAGCAGCAGCAGCATCATCAGCAGCATGTTCCTAGCCGTGTGCGCTTTGGATCCGCTTTTAGCAGTCCAGGTGGCGCCCCAAAGGCACCCACAGTGGCGCCGCAGTACCATCGCTCACCGCCACAGGTCATACAGGCTCAAGTCCACAATATTCCCCCACCTCCACCAGAGCTGCGCGTTCCACCCAATCCGGTGGTCACGTCGCGGGGTCAGCCAAAGCCACTGCTGGACGCACAAGAGGACATAGCGAAGGTTAGTTGTCAATGGTGACTCCATAAAATAGAAATTCCATGTTCAATCCTTGCATAGCTGTATGCCGAGGCGCAGGAAACACTGCCACCCGCGGAGGAGGAGGAGTCCGATCGTCAGCAGCGGGTGTATCGCGGCCAGCCAAGCACCGTTAGCCAGGTACAACGGGATCGCGATGGCATCATCCATCAGGCAAGCATTAATGCCATACCCCAGAGCGGAAAGCTTAGCTCGTACGCCTTCGGAACAGCCTACAGGTAAGCGATTGTCATCACGGCCAGCAAGCTTGAGTGTCTCATCAACTTTCCTCGTTGCTTCTTTAACTGAATTGAATTGGTTCTACATTGATGCAACTCACTCCACTTTACTGAAGCTAAAATTGATTCAAAATTCTCCGCAACTCATCGTATTACATGATCTTTTCTCTCATACCATGCATTATCTGCACTATCTCTATATATATCTTGCTACCACCGACCAAAATCCGAACGACCGAACCGCTTTTGGCCAACAAAAAAAACTGTACGCAAACAGCGAAAGCTTGAACGACGAACAAACGCTCGAATACGAACTGTCACATAACGGACTCGAGGCACGACCGCGAAAACGACGAGAACTCACGAGGCAGACAGAAACGGAAACAACAGCAGAAAGAGAACCCAAAGTGCAAACTGAAATGCCCAACGATTCGAATACGTCGAGCGAAGTTATGGAAACTGAAAGTCCCAGCAGCAGCACGCTGCCCGGCAATGACAGTGAATCCAATAACTCAGAGGAGCACTACGACGAGGTGGCTCCTGCCGAAGAGAAGCTACAAAAGTACTCCTCAAAGATAAGCCAGCGAAGGGAAACGACAGCAAATGCAGTAATGGAATTTGACTACGCCGGTGATGAAGCTGCTGAAGACGAGGACGAGCACCCGGAGGAAACAGATGCGGCAACAGGGGAATCCAAAAGACGCCCGCGTCAACTACGCCCACTCACGCACACCTCTGCCAAATGGCCGGCACAGAACTATCGGGAAATTGACAATCACGGCTACCATCAGCACCAAACTGGCCAGAGCTATAGCTTTGGTAACTTCAATCCGTATCTGACGCCACCAGCCAGTCCCGCGCAGACTCCGCAGCCGTATGGCAATCACAACTACAACAAAGTAAACGCCGGCTATCCCGCTCAGGCTTATCTACACCAGCAACAGCAGATTTCCACAGCAAACCAACAAAAGCCAAAGGTGGTGTACACCGGCTACAATCTATCGCTGCCGCCACCCCCGTTGGAGGATGACTTTCGCCCGATTGCGGGTAACTACTTCGGAGCGGCAAGCAATCCACGATTACCCCAGCAAAACCTCCAACCACAGCACTCGGGCAGCGGAGTAGATCTGCTACCATATTTACTACAGCAGCTGAAGGAACTAAAGGAACGTCGCAAGAATATACAAGCGGAAAACTTTGCCTATTTTCATTTGGACAATCAGCCAGTAACACCCGCCACTGCCAGCGCACCCGCTCCCAGCTCCTCACACGCCACAACCACAGCACAAACGCCGTTCGCGTACTACTCCCACTCGCACCTACCAGGCGACTCGTCCAAGCCCACACAACAGGTGACACCCGCACCCAAAGGACAGTACAGCACCATGGGAGGTTTTTACAATAATCAGAGTCCAGATCAGGGGCAATACAACCCGAACTATCCCGGTAAGCTGGTCTCCCAGTACAGCATTGGCAGCACCACGGAGAGCAACTATTTTCAGTATAATGTTATAGCGAATCAGAAGATGAAAGGCGTCTACAGCACAGCCAAACCGAATCAATTAGGACAAGTGGCGGTCAAAGTGCGACCCCCAGTCACACCGCAGCAGGTCACGCAGAGCATCAACATTGTGTCGGCGCCCAATCTGGCCTACAGCAGGCCCAACACAGCTCAGCAACAGGTGCCATTCCGTGACTTTTCGCACCTGCCCGTAGGCATAAGCTACACGGACAACAGCACCCTGCCAGAATCATATCAGACTTTTACAAAGTCAATCACTTCCACAGGGGCACCGGAGACCACAACTACCAAGCCCAAACTGACAAACTTTCAATTCAATATCCATGAGTTCATGGCTAACCTAAAGTCTAGCGATCTGGCAAGTGTCAATCCAGCCATAAACCCATTGATTAAGTACTTCAAGCAGTTGAACAGCGATGTCCAGCGACGTCCAGTTGCCCCTTCCAGCACGACGACAATCCCAATTCCCACCACAACTCCCAGTACTTCTCCACCTAAAGCACGGCTAAGAGAAAAGCCAACCATTACAACCACTTCGAGACCGCTCAAGGGCTACGAAAGCTTTATCAAGGGCATACAAAATCAAATCAACAAACAGACCTCGAGCCAGAGTGCAGCACCGCCCACAAAATCCCCAACAACTCAGCGAGTAAGACCCACATCAAGGACCAGCAGCAGCAGCACCACAACGACTACTGAAAGCGTCGACTACTACGACGAGGACTACGAGGAAGATGATGATATACTGCCACCTTCACGCTTGCCACCATATATGCCCATGTCCGAGACAATGGCACCACCACGCCCGCAACTGGCAGCCACGACAGCGCCAGTGACTGGGTTGCCAGTACGCAACAACTTCCAGACTGGATTCATGGAAGCCACCACCACACGACGTCCGTTCCCAAACTTTGCGCAGCTTAACAGCAGGCCCAGTACGGAGACTGGCACTGGAGTGCCGTCATTCATCAACTTCCCCAGCGACATATTCCAGGAACTAAAGCAACGTCTGCCACAGTCGACAACACCCACGTCAGCGGCTTCCACTACGCAGAGCACGCGTTCCAGCTCCACGACAGCATCCACATCAACATCCACACGGATGCGGTACACAACGCGTCCACGCACTAGAGGACAGCAAAAGTGGATGACGATGGCACCAGCTGCAGCTGCAGCCAAGGGAGTCGAGAACAACAACAAGCGGGCGAAAAATGAAAGTAATTCAATGTCCGGCTACTATTCCGGCAAGCAAAGCCACAGCAGCTTAGGTGGCCTCCAATTGAACTCTGTGCACATCAGCGGCTCAGACTCAGGCGGGGACAGACACAGGTAGCTATACTGAGTTCCAGCTGAGTTCAGAACAGAACTTTTGTGCCGCTACACAAATACACAAGAAATACCCGTATATAACTACAACAACAAAAAATACAAAAGATAAATGTACATAAATATACGCCCGTCTTGCGACATTACTGTTTAAACGACCCATTACTAAACGATCTTAACGGATTGAGCCCGCACCTACCAAAGTTGTACAGTTGACTAAAACAAAAATTGTTCTTGGACATTGGCTACACTAACATTTAATCAAAGACAATATAATACTAAGATGATTCCACGCCCATACATTTTCCATGCATGTGCAAGCATTCGAAGTTCGATGTTCTTAAATATTCTCTGTTCAGCTGAGCAGCGCTGGCGCAGCAGTGTTAACAGCACAATTTAACAGTTTGTTTCTGCCCACGCCAACAGCCTGTGGCTCACCAGTCTAATATGTTGTTAGTGCACCCGTCTACTGTGATGTTAGTGCACCCGTCTACAGTGCTGTTAGTGCACCTGTCTACAGTGCTGTTAGCGCTCTCCGACAGCGCTCTGAGAGTGGGCTCGCGCTCGCTCTCACAATTGCTACGGTTCGCGAGCGCCTTTGCTTGCAAGCTTCAGCTTCCTATTTCCAACCTCGCACAGTCAGCCGCTCCCATAGTGAAACTATTAAGAAGGTGAACTCTTCAGCGCTTCGGCCTTTTCTAGCGCTTGTCTCTCTGTGCGAGATGAATTAAGTTGTGTAATTAAGTTGTCCTTCATCATCTTACCATTAAATTGTCTTTGCCCTAACCCTAATCTTAATCTTAACCTTGACTTTATGCTCTAACCTCATTCTGTGCTCATTTTTCCATTGTTTCCCCTTTTACCCTGCCATGCTCATGCTCATTATTATATTTATATCAAATTGAATTACTTTTTGATGTCGTTTTACATTTCTCTTCCCCTGTTTTACGTACGTAAACACAATCATTAACTCTACATAAACACACACAATATTTGTTTACCTTACGTTTCCACTTGTGCATTTTGGCCAATGTAAATAATCTGCGCCAATCACTTCACCAACAACAACCAAAAAAAACTTCAACAACGTGTACAGAGTTGAGTCATCTTCACCGTCATCGCTGGGGGGGGCGCCAACGCCCAATGCTAATATCTTTGTACAGCCCACGCCACAAGCCCCATCTCCACAGCTAGAATCGAATCGTAACTACTATAATGCATCCATATTTAATCACGGGGGCGGCTACCAACAATCACGGCAACAGCAGCAGCAACAGCAACAACAACAGCAACAGCTACAGCCAACACCATTCCAACAATCGTCACAGCGCGAGCAGCAGGCACAAGCCCTACCAAATCCCTATGATTCATCATATTATTCTGTTTACGACGATGATATCGATTTATATAGGGACATTGAGTATCAGCAACAACAGCAGCAGCAAGACCATCAGCAACAGCAACAGCAACAACAACAATATCATCCACCAGCTGTGCGCCATCAACAGACACAATCCACATACCGGCCATTGGAGCAATCGGCCACACCGACGCCACCACAGAAGCCGCTGTACAGCAACCAACCGACGTTGACCTACAGCACGGACTACGATGAGGATATTAATGCACAGGTAGGAGAAATAAAAAAAACAAAATGTAAACAAAAACTAACTTAAAACTATTTGTAGATCGAGCAAGATAATGTGTACGATCAGCCGACACGTTCGCCCCAAAGGTAAGTCCCAATCCAGCACCCTGTCAGCCCCTCAATCTGGGAGCAGAATCGTGACAGCAAACAGTCCAGAAAGTGCAGACAATTTTACTGCACGGGGGAGTCATTTGTAGTTCCCAAGCCCAGCCCGAACGCACCACAGTTAGCATTATGGCCTAGAAATTATTCCCACACACACTCCAACAACACACACAAAACATAAAAATTGACACACACAAACCCACAATACATTTATCTACCGGAACAGGCCGGCACAGGTGGCCATCCAAAGACTGGACGCGCGGCCAACAACCACAAAGACGCCGCCCACACGTGCCGATGTACGTCACTACTATGACACGATTACCACACAAAATACGCGCAACGGAGAATCCGATTACAGTTACTCCAGCTCCGGAGAGTACACAGAGGACTACGAGCAGAGCGAGCGCAAGCCCGTCACGGATACGAGGGATGACTATGAATTGATTGCCAATGTTGTGGGGCACAAAAAAGTAAAAGCTACAACGCTGCCACCTACCCCAAGAGGGCAGCACATAAAAGTTACACCAGCAACTAGTTGGAGTACGCCCAAGAGTTCCACAACAACAACAACAACCAGTTCTACAACAACCACAACAACACCACCAACAACAACGACAACAACATCCACCACAACAACACCAAAACCCCAAAGGTATTTCGTTAGTCCCATTGCTAGACAAGTTAGCAGACAGACAGCTCCATTTCCACACGATTTTAGCATCCGTTCTGCAGTTTTGAGTTTGCTTTTAAAGGAAATAGTTTCTAAGTTCTCATAGCCATCACACACACACACACACACACGAAAAGCTTGCAAAATCGGCTCACAACACACACACACACACTCTGCAGAACATTTATCTGCCAAAGCTGCTCCCGAAATCGGGAGACATCCTCCACTGCTGGCTGTGTCTCTCTCTCGCTCTCTGGCTCTCTGATCTTTATGTTTTTCTGTTGTAATGTGATTAAAATGCGTTCTCATATTCATTGCATGTTTATACCATAAGATAATGCATGAGCATGAATTTATAGATAATATTGCAGAATCCATTACCAGTCGAGGATGAAAAGTGAAATTCTGAGAACCGAAAAGGATAGGGAGTCGATGTCGATCGATAATGTTAGGGTTTCGCATAGCAACTAAGTTACTAACTTATGTGATTACTTATTACAACTACACGTCTCTTCAACAGCTCGAAAGCGCATGCAAATAAAATCTATAAGCAACAAGCTATAAACAAATCAAAGACAAAGACAACAACAAACACTACACAGCCACCAACGACCACCACCAGCACCACAACAATATCTCCTCCAACATACCATCCTTCGACTTATAGCTCCAATCCCTTTCTCAAATCGAAGCTCCACAGCCTGGCCAAGTCGCTGGTTAGCTTTGTGGCCAACAGCCACACTCCAGATAAATTCCATAATCAACATTCAGTTCAGAACCAGAACCATAACCAGACCCACTCCCAACTCCAACTGCAAACTCATGTTTATCCCTCAGTTGCTCAACCCACGACCACGACGCAAGGGCCTCTGGTGGTGGACAGTTCCAGCAGTCAGTTGGAAAATTCGGAAACCGTCTTCGATGAGAGTCAGAATGTCCACGTGCAGACGGCCGAGGCACCGAGCAGTCGCTCCTTTGAGACCAGCACCTCGCCCAAGTTTCTAGATTTCATTAACAGCGCCGCTTACGGCACAAGTCCGCGCGGCAATCTGCTGCACGCGGTGCCAAATAAGCCCGTGAAGACGAGCTACCAGCAGTTGCATAAACAATTGCCATTTAGGGGCGCGGAAGGTGCGTATCAGAGCTACATCACATCCGATGTGGAACCGCAGAGCTTTAGGGCTCCTGCGAGCGAGGCGGTATCCTCCATTGAGCTATTGGACAGCTCAAGCACCACACCCGGCACGACGCTCAGTAAAGCTCTTCAATATAGCCTGCAGCGTGGATCGTATGGGTTTAGCCTGCGCGCTGAGGATGCCACTGATCTGCCAGCAAGTACTTCTACGAGCACAACTACAGTTCCATCTACCAAGCCCAGCGATGTGGATATTGTGCCCACAACCTATGCGCCACCTCTGCGCATTTGGCGCAATGGACGACCCACCATTCAAGCTTATACCAAGGCAAGCAGCACGACAGCAGCAACCACTGCAACAGCTGACAGCTGGAGCGATAGTGTGGAGTCCAGCAGCACTCTAAGAAGCACCTCAACAACGCCAAAGTCTCAGGGCATGCCAAGCACCGAGCGGTACATATCCCCAGGACAACGCAGCACCAATCGCGCCAATCACTTTAAGGATAACCTAAACCGCGCCACTGCCAATCCCGCCATGCGTTTCGTTTCCCCCTACAAGAGTCTGGAGAATCTGCTGCAGGAGGAGCGTCAGCACTCGAACATGATGCTGCGCACGACAGCCAGACCGCGTTACACAAACTCCCCAGCCTCACCGCCATTCCTGCAGACCACACAGAAACCGCCCAAGAATCTGTTTGTGGCGGGTTTAGGCCCCAAGAATATCAGCGCGGATGTGCTGGCCACCATGGCCACGGGAAATGTGCGAAACTTTAGCATCAGCGATGCCATCTTGAGCACCTTTAGTCCGCAGAGAACGGTGTCAAGTATGCTGCGCAGCACCACCAAGGCAGCTCCAACGACGACAACCCCAACGACAACCACAACTCCAGCCACGACCATGTCCACGGTGGTAGCTTCATCGCCCTTACGTGTCTCCCAGGCTCCAGTGCGTCCTCGTGGTCGATCTCGCTACACAGTGGCCACACTTGACAATTTAGCGGAGAGCGTGGACGAGCCCACGACCTATGCACCCCGGCTAAGGCTACCCAGCAGCAACTTTGAGGCCAATCAGTACACTAAACGTGTCCGCATAGCCGCCAAACTGCGCTCGTCTTCCGCCGAATCCACATTGCAGCCACACGCAAAGTACGAGTCATACAAGGCGGCCATACAGGCCAAGGACTCAAACAATTTTGCCACACAAAATGTAACAGCAAAGCACGTAAAGTTGTTCAAACGCAAACAAATAGAAAATGAGGCCAGCGTATCGGATGGTCCGCGAGCCGAGGCATTGATTGGCCATCAGCAAGTAGAAGTGAGGAGGCACCAAAATAGCATCGAAGAAATGGGAACAGCAACGGCATCCAGCTCCACGGAGCATGTGGTGACCATAACAGATCGTCCAACTGTCAAGTTTCTCTACTCCAACAAATATCGCCAGCAAACGGCGGAGAGTACTTTGGCGGATAGTCTCCAGAATGCTGGCTACCTAACCACCGGCAATGGGCGGGTCCAAAAGTTTCGTGCTGTGAATGTTCTGGAGCAACTGAAGCAGTTTCTCGCTGGCAGCGATAGCAACAGCAACAGCAACAGCAACAGCGATGAGAGTGGCACCTCCCGATTCGTTGATGAATATTCGCTGCCGGAAATAAAGGCAGCCGTTGATGAAATTAAGCAACTTTATGTGCCCACGGGGCGTACGACGATTACAACCACAACGACTACGCTGCGTCCCAGCACCACGCCCATTGCGTCTCCCAGTATACGCCCCACTTTGGGAGCAAGCCAATCCAAAGCTTATTCCTATTCCTCCGCCACTTTTAGCACCGAACCCACCAACCCAACTCCAACTGCAGTTAGATATTCCCCTAGCACCACCACCACCACTCCCGATTTTAGTAATCCCTCAACAACCTCAACAACAGTTTCACCAACAACTGCTACTGCTACAGACACACCCTCCTACTCCTCCTCCTCCTCCTCCTCCTCCTCCACGTTTGCAATGCCAACTGCGCGCGCCTCGAGGGTGAACAATGTCATAAGATCATCGATAGCCGCTGCTGCCGCCCAATCGTCCAGCTCAGGCTCCTCCACTACCTCCACCTCCTCCACAGCGGCTGCTAAAGCAAATAAGTTCCAATTTGGATTCTCACCCAACACTAAGAACCAACAGCAGCAGCAGCAGCAGCAGCAGCAGCAGCACAACAGCAACAACAATGCCGCCGCAGCAGCAGCGTCTGTAAAGTGCTCTGATAGCACATTGAGCGCCAAATGCAACGAAATTCCCTCAAGGTATAGATACTCGTACCCGATTGCTACCTTAGTTCAGTCGATCATCACTCTCTCTCTCTCTCTCTCTCTCTACCTATATCTTACCCATAGCTCTCTATTCTCTCTATTAGATTCACAGTAATTTCGTTTTTTGAACACCAAACCAAAACCCCTTCACACTGTACTGTACCGAACCAACAACACTGTACTGTGCTGAACAGCAACAACTGCAGCCCGTTGGGATGTTCTAAAGCTTTCTCTAGTCTCTCATTACCCCCTCACCCACCCAAACGTACACCCAATCCTCTAATATCTCCTCTATTCGTACTTGGTTGATGTTGAATGTTGACCATTTCCACTTAGTCAAATGTTGAAAACAAATGTTTTGATCACTCTAATCGCTCGCTGACTCAGTGCAATGTTAGTTTGTTATCGTAGAAGTACTTACTAAATTGTAGCTGCTGTGTAAAATGGTGCAACAATATCTAAAAACTGAACACGGCAAACACTGGTGGTGGCCGAATTCTTATCGTAAATGCCTTCAGTGGTTAATAGTTTTAAACATAATAAATTGGAGCATTAAAATGTGAATTTTGCATCACAAAAATGTGAGAACTAAGAAGTAGAACTCTAAGCTCGATCTTGACCCAGTACACAGTCTTAATTCGCACATTTTACCCAGCTTTAATTTAGTAAGGACTTATGTGATCGCCGCCCAGTTGCCCCTGCGAAAAGTATCAAGATCTCTCACAACTTCTTCGTCTTTCCTCAGCTTAGATTTCAAACCCAAAACCAAGCCAACACGTGACACATAAGTATACAACAAAACAATACAACTTTTTGGTTCTCACTGTATAATAATTGGCTGATCAAATTGTACTTTTTATTGCGGTTCTGTTGGTGTTGGATTCTCGGTAAATGAAGCTCATTTTGAAATAAACACTAACCCTCATTCAAGTGGATGTATTTATAAGTCGGTACAAAACTAATCGAATATGTACTCGTATCTCTTGCCTATTTGTGTAGCACAAACTTGTAGCTAAGTCACTGAGTAGAGATAACTTTTAACTTTGCTTAAAATATAATTTCATTGAATTATGCCTAGAAACAACAATAGAAACCGAGGCGGCGCCATTTATGCCAGTCAGGATCGGGATGTTGTGCCCACAGCCAATCGGGGAACGCATCCACCGTGAGTAAAACTTTGGGGAGTGAATGAAATTATATTGTTAATAAAGGAATTTAATTACAGCCGCACACGTCCCACGCTTAAGCCGTCCGGCACTATTGTCTCTAAGGCTCAAGAGTTTGTGGATATTTATAGATATCCACCAACACGACCGGATCCCATCTACCCACAGCCCACGCCCGACAAGACGGCAGCCAAGTGCCGCAAGGATGTGTGCCTACTGCCAGACTGTTATTGTGGTGGTCGGGACATACCTGGTAAGTGGGCAGTTTTAGCTGAGGGACCAAACCAATGTCGAGCAGGCTACGAGTTCTCGTGCGTAATAACAAATGCATTGCAAAAATAATATGTGTGTAGGCGGCCTAAATGTAACGGAGACACCACAAATTGTATTGATTACATTCGACGATGCAGTCAACCCGATTAACATTGATATCTACGCGGAGCTTTTCAATAACAAAACGCGAAAGAACCCCAATGGGTGTCCTTGGCGTGCAACGTTTTATTTGTCCCACGAGTGGACGGACTATGGCATGGTGCAGGATCTGTACTCAGATGGACATGAAATGGCCTCGCACACTGTTTCGTAAGTTGGTGCCATCCTCGACAAACAAATCAACATCAAATCAACAAAGGCCACTGCATCAATCAAGTCTCTGCATCTATTTTTCCTACTTTTGCTTATCTTTATTTTCTTTTACTGGGAATGAAAACTCCATTTTATTTGCTATTTTGCATTTTTGCATCGTTCCATTATCGTTCATTTACTAGCCGAGCTACCCGCTGAAAGCATACCCCAAATAGTTCTATTGACCTTCGATGATTCTGTGAATGATTTGAATAAGCAATTGTACACGGATCTGTTTGAGAAGGGGCGCGTCAATCCCAATGGTTGCCCCATCACGGCCACGTTTTACGTCTCCCATGAGTGGACTGATTACAGCCAGGTGCAAAATCTGTACGCCGATGGACATGAAATGGCATCCCACACAGTTTCGTAAGTACAGACACAACACACAACAGACAGAACACAGCACACACAACAGAGGAAATGGAAATGCAGCAAGGAAGTAGCTAGTGAAAAATATTTCTATCACAAAACGCACAAATATCCACACCAAATACATCGCTCAGCTAAACATAAGCTAAACCAGTTACGCTTATACGCTATTCTAACAACAAATTGATATATCCACAGTCACAGTTTTGGCGAGCAATTCTCGCAGAAAAAGTGGACACGTGAAATTGCTGGCCAGCGGGAAATACTCGCGGCTTATGGCGGCGTCAAGTTATCCGATGTCAGGGGCATGCGGGCGCCCTTCCTCTCGGTGGGCGGCAACAAAATGTACAAAATGCTGTACGACTCCAACTTCACATACGACTCCTCCATGCCTGTCTATGAAAATCGACCACCTTCCTGGCCATACACTCTCGACTACAAGATCTTTCACGATTGCATGATTCCACCCTGCCCAACGCGCTCGTATCCAGGCGTGTGGCAAGTGCCCATGGTCATGTGGCAGGACCTGAACGGTGGCCGTTGCTCCATGGGCGACGCCTGCTCAAATCCCAGTGATGCGGAGGGTGTTACAAAAATGATTATGAAGAACTTTGAGCGGCACTACACCACGAACAGGTAAGGAGAGACAAAATAGTTAGAAACTGGACAACAAATGAATACATTTAATTACCTGTAGAGCACCTTTCGGACTGTTCTACCATGCAGCCTGGTTTACGCAGCCCCACCACAAAGAAGGCTTCATTAAGTTCCTGGATGCCATCAATGCCATGCCCGATGTGTGGATCCTAACCAACTGGCAGGCACTGCAATGGGTGCGGGATCCAACGCCCATATCACGCATTAACTCCTTCCAACCGTTTCAGTGCGATTATTCGGTAAGAATGCACTTGAAGGCATTCCACTTGAAGGCTTAAATATATATTTTCTCTCTCTAATCTTAGGACCGGCCGAAGCGCTGCAACAATCCAAAAGTGTGCAATCTGTGGCATAAATCTGGCGTACGCTACATGAAGACTTGTCAGCCCTGCCCAGACATTTATCCTTGGACTGGCAAGTCGGGCATACGCTCATCGCGCATCGATAATGACAATAATGTTGAGGAACCGGCAGCGGCGTAAGACTTTGCCCTAGCATCGAGCATCTGTTCTTCGAGATCCATAGACTAACAGCAGGCACAAGAGGCCACACTGGTGGTCATACTTAGGTAGCGCAAAATACGAAATTCACTCGTTCAAAATCGTTTCATTTACTTTAATACTTTAGCTAATTGTTGTTCAGCGAGAGATCATAGTTAATTCTTTTTGGAGCATGTTACTACAAATTATTTATACCCGCTTACACACTCGATATATTCCTATAGATTGCTACTTATAAAGTATCTCCATGCACCCTGGAGTACTACATGAAAAACAATTAGGAATAAAACTGTAGTTTAATTAAGAACTAATATTAATAAGTTGCAAACGTAGTGGTTAGGCTAATGTATTTTCATTTAACTTGTGATAAATATTTACAGCTGAATTTATGTATGTATTAGACGTGCACAATCCTCTTCGAAATCATTTACTATGTCCAAACTCTTTTCCATGATGTTTTGCCTCTAAATATATTTAAGTTCTTCTACGCATATTTTTGAAATAAAAACATTCACTACATTTGACTAAAACTAAGTATTTAGTACCACTACCAGGAGCAGTGGTGGCAGTATCAGACTTTTAGAGTTAAACGCAGTGCAGAGCAGAATATAATATTAGCATTTAAGTCATACACCAGCAGCATTCTGCTTTAACATCATGCACATCCTTTTGAATTTGTTTAGTCTTTGGTAATGGATAATAAATACGTTAACTAATGGAGCAACTGGAACAACTGCAAGAAGTCAAGGAGCAAGCGCTAACTGGGAGCGACTATAAATAGATAAGAACCACAATGATTGCCAATACTTAGCCGCTGCCTGCATGAACCAACGTGGAAGCCAATCGAATGTAAGCTATAATTATGCGAAAGTATTAATGGGATTCGAAATGCAATAATTCAAAACGAAAATAAATAATACAAAGTAGCAAAACTCTTCCTGGCAGGGCGCAATGTAGGAAACAATTCTGTTGAAACGAGTGAATTAAGTATTTTGTGCTAATGTTTGTAAAAAGCTACACCTACATATATGAATGTATGAATGTACGTTGCATGTCTATAATAAAGTTAAATATTTAAATCGTAATTAACCACTGCGCGCCATCGACTTCTTGCTGATAAGCGAAGCTCGGCCGCAGGTGCCACAATTGATATCCAGAAATTGTGTGTAATTTTGATGAGGTGCTGACCCCTAGCGTGCTGGGGAACACTCGAGCGCGTGTATAAAAGCTGCTAGCTTGTGGCACATTGCAGGCATTTCAATCAAGTCCTTGCCTAAACGTAGCCACCATGTGGACGCAGTGGCTAGTGCTGCTGGCATTGTTCTCCAGCCAATTTGCAGAGATAAATGCATTATCTGATGCTTGTGTCAGCAGGCGACTTATCCAACGTTATGGCTTAAACGAAGAAATCTATGGACAGGGTTGTGGTTTCCGTAAATTAAATCAAAAGCGTCTGCGACGTCGCGTTGATCCCACTTTTCATGGCAATCCAAAGCCACGCGGCGAGCTGCTGGCCAACAATTTTAACATCAATTCCCACAGATTGGATCAGATCAACTCTCTTGTGTCGCTTGTCAATAAAATAACACAGGAGTACTTGGGCAAGTGTCCACCGGTTATATATTACGATGCTTTAGTGGAAAAATCAGATGGACTGGTGCTGGAGACTCTCTTCAAGGTTAGTAAGTGCAAAAAGCACTGAGCAAATCGAATTCAGCGACATTTTGCAGACAATTCCCACTACGTTTTATCATGGCGAAATCAATGATCGCTATGAGGCCGAAAATCCACACTTTACCAGTCACATCGACAGCAGTTGCAAGAGCTACATTCTGTTTCTGTCGGATCCGCTGATGGCACGTAAGATTTTGGGGCCACAAACTGAAAGCCGCGTGGTGCTCGTCTCACGTTCAACGCAGTGGAAACTCCGTGACTTTTTGTCCTCCGAGTTGTCTTCAAATATTGTGAATTTGCTGGTTATTGGAGAGTCACTGATGGCCGATCCATTGCGTGTGAGTAACAAGAGATTATAGCTACGAATTTCTTCCTGAAGATGTTCCCTCTCCTCTGTCGCAGGAGCGTCCTTATGTGCTGTACACCCACAAGCTCTACTCAGATGGTCTCGGCTCGAATACACCCGTTGTGCTCACCAGCTGGATAAAAGGCGCTCTATCGCGACCGCACATTAATCTCTTTCCTCCGAAATTCCAAGCTGGCTTTGCTGGCCATCGATTTCAAGTGTCGGCTGCCAATCAGCCGCCCTTCATCTTTCGCATACGCACTCTGGACTCGTCGGGCATGATGCAGCTGCGCTGGGACGGCATAGAGATGCGTTTGTTGAATATGATTTCAAAGCGTCTGAACTTCTCGGTGGATATCTCCGAGACTGCTCGAGTGTCCGATACTCGCAGCATAATTGACAGCATCCAGACGGAGATTGTCCAAAGGTCAGTGGACATTGGCATGTCCGGTATTTATGTCACTGAGGACCGCCTGCGGGAGACGGACATGTCGGTGGGACATTCGCGGGATTGTGCCGCTTTCATAACACTCGCGTCCAAGGCGCTGCCAAAGTATCGGGCTATCATGGGCCCATTCCAGTGGCCAGTTTGGGTGGCTCTTATTTGCGTGTACTTGGGCGCCATCGTTCCAATTGTGTTCACCGACCGCTTGACACTCAGCCACTTGCTGGGCAACTGGGGAGAGGTGGAAAATATGTTTTGGTATGTCTTTGGCATGTTCACAAATGCTTTTACCTTCACCGGAAAATACTCGTGGGGCAACACCCAGAAGATCTCCACGCGTCTGCTTATCGGCTCCTATTGGCTCTTCACGATAATTATTACATCCTGCTACACCGGATCGATCATAGCGTTTGTGACCCTGCCAGCATTTCCGGACACGGTTGACTCCGTCTTGGATTTGCTGGGACTCTTCTTTCGTGTTGGCACGTTGGGTGAGTCGATGAACAATCCGTAACAGTTCGCAAATGGTTTACATTTTTGTTCACGTTAGACAATGGCGGTTGGGAGACTTGGTTCCAAAACTCCACACACATGCCCACGGCACGGCTTTACAGGAAAATGGAGTTCGTCGGCAGTCTGGAAGAAGGAATTGGAAATGTCACACAAAGTTTCTTTTGGAATTACGCATTTCTTGGCTCAAAAGCACAGCTGGAATATCTGGTTCAATCGAATTTCTCGGATGAGTAAGAACTATTACTTTGTGCCAATGATTTGTCCATTTGATTTTTCAAACAGAAACATATCTCGGCGTTCGGCACTTCATCTGAGCGAAGAGTGTTTCGCTCTCTTCCAAATTGGTTTTCTTTTTCCTCGAGAGTCCGTGTACAAGCGAAAAATCGACTCTATGATTTTGCTGGCCCAGCAGAGTGGACTTGTTAGCAAAATCAACAATGAGGTGAGCTGGGTCATGCAGCGTTCTACCTCGGGGCGCTTGCTGCAGGCCAGTTCGTCCAGCTCACTGCGAGAAATCATTCAGGAGGAGCGACAGCTGACCACGGCGGACACGGAGGGAATGTTTCTGCTCATGGCACTCGGCTACTTTCTGGGCGGAGTTGCCCTGGTATCCGAAATCGTTGGAGGAATTACCAACAAGTGCAGGCAAATCATCAAACGTTCCCGCAAGTCAGCCTCCAGCGCAAACAGCTCCACACTCGTCCCAGGTGGAGAGCGCTCCTCTGCCCAGCAAATGGAGCACGACGAACGCAGGGCGGCACGTCGCGACGCAGCGGACGATGGCCCGAAGATGAGTTTCGGCATGCGAGAGTTTAATTTAACCCGCACAACATTTCGCGAATTATATGGCAATTACAACAGAGCAGATCAGCAACAAAGCTGTGGCCAGCAGGCCTCGGATCACGTGCACTGCCACGCGCACTCCGACCAGGAAGAGTCTCTGGATTGTTTGGATGAGCTAATTGCTCATTTGGAAAAGACCGAAGCCGAAATCGAAGGCGAAACCGAAACCGAAACCGAGAATGCTTCAGTTCAGGGGGAGTTTTTTCCTGACGAATATTTTGGTCCAAACACCGACACTACACAAAACCACTAGCCATACTTGCTGTTCTTGCATATTTCATACATAGCCATGCAAAGGATACTCCTTAAAATTAGCAACCAACAAAAATGGCACTATAGATCGATTTACGATTTATTGGCGAAAATTAAATACTGCATAGATATAAATTGAAAATCGAAAAAACACATAAGAGTATCGAAAAATATCGAAAGAGGTTAACGGTATATTAATTTTTGGTATATTTCTGTGGGATTTCTGTGCGCACATTTGAGACCCAAAAATTAGGAAAAAAAGGGAGGATCTGCTGGCTTAATCCTCTCTTTGGCATGTGACCGCAAGGTATGGCAAGCAGGTAAAAGAGGACGAACTTTTCGAAGCTCCCACCTTTTTCACATCTGTTTAAACTATCCCTTAATCCCTTATCCGTTAACATACATGTGCCTGTGTTAATTATTTACATACATTTACATACTTGCTTCCTTCTGCAGGTGATTTGAATAAACAATTCAAATACAAATTTGTAAACTATAAGGTCATAAAGTATACAATCCAATAAAAATGAGTTCTTTAAAAAAGCCAAATTAGTTCTTCAATCGAATTAAGTTATTTTGTTAGGTTTAAAAGTCTTTGCAAGCTAGTAATATCAAGTAGAACATCAAACTCGATGAATATGATTTAAGACTATGGTATATTTACGGATTATTTTTTTATGAAAAGGTATATTTTGGTATATTTCTGAGGGTCCGACGGTATACTTTATAGATTTTCCGCGGTCGCGTCATGTCGGTCGTGTTTGTTTTTGTTGTTTGTTCGCTGTTCGCTAAAGAATTTAACCACCCACCCACCGAATAATTAAGAAAGGTGTACATGTACAGTAAAGGTGCCAAGCCAACGTTCGAGAGAAAACAAAAAGAATTCATATCTATTTGTCTTCGGTAATATTTCGGTACATACATCTATACATAGCTACGATACAGTGCATATGCAGTTGAGTGTACGTGTGTGCAAGGGGACAACAAAATAAAGCATTTCTTCCTAAACCGATGCCTCTTTAGTGAACAACTGAAAAAACCTTCGTTTTAGCGGATAAAATGTTCTGAATTTCTGAACAGAAGCATAAACAACTGTTGAACATAACTAAATGCAATGCAAAACAAACTGTATTTTCTAGTGTACATAAAAACATCACACACACATGCATGGATATTCGCATGCAGTGAGTCAGCCACGCACACACAAACACCCTTGCAGACATGAGTATACCTAGGCGGTTTCTTTCGTTTTTAGTGTTGTTGTGTGTTGTTCTACCCTGGCAGATAGTGCCCATAAAGTAACTAATGACTGTTCAAGGCAACTGGCCCTAAAGAATGTGATTTCTGTTGTCATAAAATGGCAAATTTTTAGTTGTCTGGCAAATTAAAGCATACATATATGAAATTGGGTCATCACTCCGCTACCCAAGGTTATATTCAGGAAATTGATCAGTGCCGGATCCGTTAATTATTCATCAGTCGCTGGCGACCGCAGACCCTTGACTTCTTCTGTTCAACGCAGCATGGCGAGTTCATTAACTTCCATAACCAGTAACCACCAACACAAATGTACATTTCCACCATAGAGCTGCGGGCAAGTGGCCATACCTTTTTTTCAAGCCGTCGCTTAATAGATGCGTGGGTAATACTTTTCTAGTACCTCCTAACACATTGCCACATATTCGTACGTTACTTTTATTTGGCTTCCTTGATCGTTGAACATACATATGTGTGTATGCGTGTGTACACATGCATTGTACATACAAACTTTGCCAACGTTTCAACCGCCCACAAACATTCATCTATGTAAAATCTCGACACAACTTGTTTAACAAGTCTTGTAAATCAAGTTCTCGCTTCAGTTAATAGTTTTTTTTTTCTGGCTTATTCATGAGAAAGCAACGCCCTGCTTCCAAAAATTAGATTATTTTAGTGCTAGCTCTGCCAGAATCAATCTAATTTTTTATTCATTTCATTTCAGTGTTTTTCAATTCATAAATAGTGCAAAAATAGTTATTGTGTTACGTCAAATAAAAGTCGTGCAACAATGTTAAAGTTTATACGAGGAAAGGGTCAACAGCCGACAGCGGAACGACAGCGCCTGCAGAAGGATCTTTTTGCATATCGTAAGGTACGTACATATGCCATGCAGGGCACTTTTTCCCTTACCAGCCTCAAAAGTCTTACTCACCTTTAGGCAGGTTTGTAATATTGCTAAGTTTATATCAACAGAACAGTGCTTATCGCAAAATGTAGTTTCATTGAACACCTTGAAGTATGGCAGACTTTAAAGCCCAAGGCAACTGTTAAGATATCTTACAAATATTTTTATTGAACATATCATTTTCAATCGAGTTGATTTATTAAGGTCTTCATGTACAAGAAATAATTCGGACGCTATTTCGCAGCTAGGGTGTGTCAATTGTCTTATTCCATTGTGTGATCGTCATATATCATTCCAAATTGTCTGCTATACGGCGTCCATTAGCCCATATGTATATGTATGTATGTATGTATGTAGATCGTATGTAGAACGATAAAGCTCTTTGCGAGTACTGTACGTATGACGGTAGAACTAATTGAATCATTAGAAACGCCAAGCCTTGTCTTAAGCGGACCTCGATAAGTGGGTCAAGCGAATTGCATCATTTTGGATTAACGCTTTCCCAGCACTTTTACCTGTTGTTGAGCTAGTTGAATAAATATAAAAAAAGAATAAGGTTGAAATATAGATGCCATCGTCGATGTCATCAAGTTTTTCCAACACTTGTCTCAATGACATCATTCACAATTCAGTCTCGATGTTTGCTGACAAACACGCATGAAAATAAATATATACTCGTATACATAGATACATTGTATATAGATAGAGTAGGCGAATATCCTTTTGCAACGCACAGAAATATTAGTCATCAATCTATTGTTGCGCGGTATATAGAAAAATTGCCGTTCGCCAAGCCTAAGAATAAAATTCTACACATAGTACAAATCATAGCAGATACATATGAACATGCAGTCACCAGTCGGTGCCTCGAAGGAAGTAGTTGATAAGATTAACTTTGTTTGTTTTATGTGCTGCTGCCCATATGTACATGGTGTGGACATACCTATGGAAAACCAAATATCGAGCGTATTTATTGTTTGAGCAGATAGGCGTGGTATCTTCCACTGATAAGATTTCAAAACAAGCTACATCAGATTCCAGGGAAAAGGAAATGCTGCACCTGTAACTGGGTCATAAATGGGTTCAACATTTTTAGAACTAGCTACAGAATGTCTAGTTTTGTAATATACCCAAATTATTCATCAATGTACCTATACATTACAAGAGTAAATTCTTAGTACATTAAGAGGTACAAATTTCCTACCGTATATCCCAGATAAACCCTTTTGCTGACTTTTAAGCTACTTTAAGGACTTCCGAAGAGCTGGAAACTCTTATCTAACAGACAGGCAATAATTATAAATAATTATTATAATATCAAGGGTATATAACAAAGTTTGAACTGTATGTTTATTTTCTAATATATTATTGTTTTTGTTATTTTTAGACGGCACAACATGGCTTTCCCCACAAACCGTCAGCTCTGGCATACGATCCTGTGGCAAAGCTCATGGCAATTGGCACACAAACAGGTGCCATTAAAGTATTTGGACAACCCGGTGTGGAATTATATGCCCAGCATACGTTGGTCAATAATTCGGCAGCAGAGCTAAATGTACAGCTGCTAGAATGGGTTTACGGCACAGGACGCATACTCTCATTGACAGCAGCTAATCAGCTAATCCTGTGGGAACCAGTGGGCACTACACTAGTACCCATCAAAACTCTGCCCTTTGACGGGAAACTTAAGAAGGTCTCCTCGCTGTGCTGTTCACTGAATAAAGATGTACTTTGGATTGGAACGGAGGGTGGCAATATATATCAGCTCGACTTAAGTTCTTTTACAATACGAGAACCAGTCATCTATCACGATGTTGTGCTTGAGCAAGTGCCACCGACATACAAGCTCAATCCAGGTGCAATTGAGTCAATTTGTCAGATTCCAAACGCACTGAACAAACTCATAATTGCCTACAATCGTGGCCTATGCGTGCTATGGGACATGGACACTTCCTCCGTGGAGCGCGCGTACATTGCACCAGGACATGGTCAAAGCGTGGGGCTTTCTGTTAATGCAACTGGCACAGAATTTAGCTGGTATCATGCGGACGGTTCGTATGCAACGTGGAGCATAGACAATGGAGAACCGCCACAAAATGTAAACTATGTACCATATGGACCCGATCCTTGCAAGAGCATTAATCGCCTTTACAAGGGCTACAGAGGGTAGGTTCAATTTATCATTTTTAAACAATGAGAAGATTAATTCTATTTCATATTTCTAGCGACAACGAAGTGATTGTCTTTTCCGGTGGCATGCCACGTTCTGCCTATGGAGATCATAATTGCGTTTCGGTGCATGTCAGCGATGGACACAAATTATGTCTGGACTTTACATCCAAGGTTATAGACTTTTTTGTAACATACAAGCCAGGAACAGACTGCGTTGAAGTGCTGATTGTGTTGTTGGAAGAGGAGCTGTGTGCATATGACCTCACCGATCCGAATATTTTGGCCATCAAGGCACCCTACCTTCATTCAGTGCATGCATCAGCTGTGACATGCAACTATCTTGCCTCTCAAGTCACCCAGGCAGTGTACGAACGCATTTTGCGAGCGGGCGATGAACAAGACATCGACTACAGCAATATTGACTGGCCCATCACGGGTGGCGTACTGTCCGACGATGCAGCTGAATCTGATGAAGATGAAGTGGCGAAGGAATACGAAATACTTTTAACTGGCCACGAGGATGGATCGGTGAAATTCTGGGACTGTACTGGCGTCCTGCTTAAGCCTATATACAATTTTAAAACGGCCGGCATTTTTGGCAACGAGCATGAGTACCGAGAAGATGGACCGGCAGACACAAGTACAGAGCAACTTGACGAGGGAGAGCCACCATTTCGTAAGGCAGGCTTGTTTGATCCTTATTCTGATGATCCGCGTTTGGCCGTTAAGAAGATTGCATTTTGCACCAAAAAGGGTCAGCTAATTGTGGGTGGTACTGCTGGACAAATTATTATAGCAGATTTCGACACTGCTGCCGAAGATCAAAGTTCTTTAAAGTATAACTCTATGAACTTGGTCAGCGATCGCGATGGTTTCATATGGAAGGGACACGATCAGCTAAATGTGCGCCCCAATTTGTTAGAGGAGAACGCCGAGCCTTTGACCGAAAACGGTGTTAATATCACGGGTGTACTTCAAGTTCTGCCACCCGCCAGCATCACTTGCATGGCTCTGGAAGCTAATTGGGGACTTGTGTCCGGCGGAACTGCACATGGACTAGTACTGTTTGACTTTAAGAACTTTGTGCCGGTGTTCCATCGCTGCACATTAAATCCAAATGATCTAACTGGAGCTGGCGAGCAACTGTCACGCCGCAAATCATTCAAGAAATCATTGCGAGAATCATTTCGAAAGCTACGAAAGGGTCGATCTACACGAACCAATCCAACAAACCAGGTGCCCACAACGGTAAGTTTTACTTGAATGAATTTAAATAACAGATCAAATAACTAATAAATAATTCCTTATAGCTGGAAGCTCGGCCTGTTGAGAGGCAAATAGAAGCACGTTGCGCCGACGACGGTTTGGGCTCCATGGTGCGATGTCTGCTGTTTGCTAAAACTTATGTCACCAACGGTGAGAACTCTAAATAAATATAACAGTAATGCACTTATCTATATTAATTGAACATTTGATTTGCAGTTAACATAACATCGCCGACTTTGTGGTCAGCTACAAATGCTAGCACCGTTTCTGTTTTCCTTCTACACTTGCCACCAGCGCAGACCGCTGCAACCACAGTGCCACCAGCAAGTGGAAATGCAACACCGCAGGCATCCCGACGTATTTCTGCGCAGCTTGCCAAGGAGATTCAGCTAAAGCATCGTGCACCTGTCGTTGGAATATCGATCTTTGATCAGACAGGCAGCCCTGTCGATCAATTGAATGCTGGAGAAAACGGTTCGCCGCCTCATCGTCTACTTATTGCCTCTGAGGAACAATTCAAAGTGTTCTCGCTGCCGCAATTAAAGCCAATCAATAAATACAAGTTAACAGCGAACGAGGGGGCTCGCATTCGTCGCATTCACTTTGGATCATTCAGCTGTCGCATATCGCCGGAACTATTGCAAAGCCTTCATTCCGGCAGTCCGACAAAGTCCGTTCGTTCCCACGGCGAGGGCGATGGCGTCGGAAATGTGAGCGCTACATCAGCTGCTGGCCGCAGTGATTTGTATCATGAGATGGCGCTGATTTGTCTTACCAACATGGGCGACATTATGGTTTTATCAGTCCCTGAGCTAAAGAGACAATTGAATGCTGCTGCCGTACGACGTGAAGATATCAAGTAAGAGGAAATCTTACATTATTTTCTTTCAAATTCTAACTGACATCCATGTATATTATTTATTATCACAGCGGCATCTCTTCGCTATGCTTTACCAATGGAGGGGAAGCTCTGTACATGATATCCTCATCGGAACTGCAGCGCATCGCTCTCTCTACTTCTAAAGTGGTGCAGCCCACAGGCATGGTGGAGGTTGAACCTTTAGAGAGTGAGGAAAACGAGAACACTTCGCAGGCAAACGAAGGCGATGAAAGCGATAAGGATGCCGAGGCAAATAGAGAACCTACAAATACTGCCACAGGCACACAACAACCACAGGCTACGGTACGCGCTAGGCCGCTGGAGCTGAACGCTGATGGCAGTAGTCTCCACCTAACTAATGGCATTTGCAACAGCAACTCACCGAACCGTGCAAACGAGACAATCACAAGCTCTATGGGTGACATCACCGTCGACTCTGTGCGCGACCATTTAAATACAACAACCACCACATTGTGTTCGACTACAACGGAGGAAACTGTTGGTGAGTGTTCCCACTTCTGAGCTCACTTCACATAACACCGCTTCTGTCTGTTCTCTTTTAAAAATATTCATATAATTTGCATTACATTTGCACTTGTTCTGTTCTGTTTATTGTCAAGATCAATGTGGCTTTTATTCGTTTTTTCGTTTTGATTACAAATAAGCCGAATGCTTAACATTTTATCTACCCTTTGATTTTAGATATGCGACAGTAATTGTACAACCGATACATAAACCAATCCAATCTTGTCATTTTAAAGCTGCCCCACTACCTTTTTTTCTACAAACTTGACACAATTTTAAGTGGTTTTGCATGCCCTATGTAATATTTTTTAATCAATTAAAATATATACTTCACTATGCATTCATAGGATTAACTAAACTAAATATAATTTTCCAAACGTAGGTCGATTGTCTGTGCTTAGCACGCAAACGAATCAAGCCACAACCACCGTGAATATGAAGGACATTCCTGACATTAACATACCTAATTTAATGGACTTGGCATCAAAGAAGTGAGTACTCTCGAAGAAGAAACACAGAAATAATAAACAATATTAAATGCTTTCAATCATTTTCTTGAAAACAGCAACACGACTGAGACGAGCACCAGTTCTGTAGTAATAAAATCAGTTATCACGAGCATATCACACGAAAAAACAAACGGCGAAAGCGAACACGTAACAACAAAGACCACAACGCATGAAGAGAGCCAATTTTAAGTAAATGAAGCCATAAAGGCATATATTTTATACTCCATATATGCACCACACCACACCACACCACGCCACACATCTAAATGGCACCTTTATCTTGTATATGAACACCGTGGTGAACACCACGGTAGGCAGACAACTGTTGCATTTTCGAAAAACAAAATCAATTATGTTACAATGCATGTTATTTGATGTAATTCCAAAATAATGTTAAGTTTATATTGTAGTAATCTATACAATCCGTTCGAGTTTACAAGTTTTTTTAGTGAATTTCACACATTTTTGTATTTATGTATTAGCCCTTTAAAGATGACAAAAGCTGCATAAATGTTGTATATGAGCTTGTCACATTTCCATACCTAACGATAGACAAAAAGTACAATACGGAACACGTATGCCTTATAAGACGAATTGACTATTTACAACAGATTTTATACAAGTATTAAAAATTCAGATCATACAACTTTTATACAAAATTCTTTGAATTTGGATGGGGCGCGATTAGTAGAGACTCATAGGTCAAAAAGATAACCTTAATATTTCGGCTGCAAACAGGAGGAACGTTATGAGACGCTGAGCTTTGTCGAATTTGTATACCCGGTACTCGAAGAGTAAATAGGGTAAAAGTACTGTATTTGTGCTCGAAAGTGGGTGTAGCAAAGGAAACCTTTCCAACCGTGTCAAGCCATGTCTGCCTGTCCGTTCGTCTTGATGCGGGAGTTGCTTGCGTGCCTGGATATCAGAGACTAATAGTTACAGCCACCATTTTGTTGCATCCAGACTGCTGTGATAGCGTAGTACTAGACACATACATACATGTGTGCACCTATAGAAGCTGACTGGGGTACGCTGCCCGCACACTGAGCGGAATTGACTCATCTATGTATATGCTGAGTCGTTAATGGTAGAGTCAGCCAAAACGAGTGTACCAAAATAAGGGAGCGTAACAGTGCTGTCAATGAGTGCGAGTGAAAGGGCTCTCGCTGTAAGTGTGAGTGAGTGAAACGACAATAGAGTGTGCGCTCAACCTTCGGCGTCGACAAGCAAATTTAAGGAAATAAGACAAGGAACGTTGCCGATGACGAGACCACCCTATAGTTGCTTCCTGCTTGTAGGGCGGCGTATATTTGGCACACTCAAGACTACAAAATTCCATCAGTGTGTAGACGACAAGAAGGCTGAGCATGGAAGTCGTGATGGCAACGGATATATGGCGAGAATCAGGGCTGCTGGTACAGGTTCGAGGATCCAAGTGCAGGGCTCTCAGTTTAAGATGCAATTTAATTTTTAGACTTCAGCTAAAAGCGATTTTTAATCTTCTAAGCTGAGTGGCTAAGCCGCAGTAGGGTCTTCACCTCAGGGAAAACTCTATCCCTTTCTAACACTTGTCTCTCTGTGAGCCGAGGGAGCGTGGTGAATAAGTAATTGGTCCGTGATAGAGGAGGGAAAGCATTACCCAAATCCCAGAGCAATTCCCCAATCTGTGTGTAAATTTTAATCTTTTTATTTCGGATTACAAAAACGGTCTACTTGTCGCGTGGCGGCATTGCAATACAAAACTATGCAAGTGCAGCCCACACATTTCTTAAACTAAAAATATTTCTTTGTAAAAGATTGCATACAAAAATAAAAGAGACAAGAGACAGAAAAGTCAGGAGAGATTCCAAAATTGAGCTTAAGTTATACGGAATGTTATGTGCGATAATAAAGATGGACGGAAGCAAGTTCCAAGTTTTTAAGTTTGTTTTCGATTCGAGAAAAAGGCACTTTAAAATTACACATTAGTTTTGGCTATGGCTCAGGCTATTGCTGTTGGCTGAGGCTATTGCCTCAGTAGCTGCGCCACAAGCACGGCGAACAGGGTGCCGCCCAGAACGCTGAACAGTCCGAGGTGCGGTACCCCCGCGCCGTTGCAGCCATCCTTGCTGTTACAGGTGCAGTACTCCATGAAGATGTTGTAGCTGCCCGTACGCATCAGGCAGAAGCGTTCGTCGCCCTCGATGCCTGGTTCTCCCATGTAGGCACAGCTGCGGAAGTAACGCCATTCGCCGTGCACCTTCTGTCGAATCTTGCGACACATTGTGGGCCGCACACCCTTCAGGTGCTCCAGCTCTGGCGCCTGCTGGCAGTCCGTGATGGCCAGTGTGCTGTTGTCGAAGGGATCACCGCACTTGGGATCGCTGTCGCTGCGGCAGTCCCAACACTTGATGGCCTGAGCTGTGGGGCACATCAGTTGATTAGAATATTTTATGGCACTTAACATTTACGCAGACGCAGGTGACTCGCTACGCCCTCGTATGGCACTTACCCGTCTGCAGCAGGCAGCAAAGCATTACAGCACCCAGAATGCATTTCTCGACGGGTTTCATGTTGTTTGGGTCTATATATCTGGTTGTTTCAACGCTTTTGGAAGCCTCGGTAAACAATTAAATTAAGGAAAACAAAATGCGAACACCGCCCAAAAAATGCTGGCTGGTATCGATAGTTCTCGTGCTGCTATCGATGGCTGTCTTGGCAATGTTTAGTTTTTTCAACAGTCTGGCAGTCTACCAAAACGAATTGTGGCATTTTATGGCGCTTGTTTAAATTAATTTTCATGTTTTGTTGACTGTTTTAAACTGTTTCTAGCAAATAGCAATGAACGCGAATATGATTTTCTCTTAGGGAAGGCTTTATCTTTGCCAACAATGAATCAACTGTTTGAATAGAGCGGACTTACGTGGGTTAAGTTCGGTTATTCTCGGTATATTTCTGGGGGTAAGCCGGTATATTTCATCGCTGAATCCGCGGGCACACTCACTCAAACCCAATTTGTTTTGAATTTATTTTGGTTCTAAGTTTAAACCTCATTTTAGCCAAGTTAACTGAAGCGCACAAAACCATTATAAGCTCAACCATGTCCAGAATAACACGCTGTGCATTTATATTACTTTCGCTGGCCGTGTGCGGTAGGTGGTTATGCAAAAATCCAAAGCCAAGTCACATAAACTCCGCTTAGGGTGTGGCTTGGGGCAGGTGTTTTGTTTGTTAATTTATAATTAATTCATGTTTTTTTTTTATTTTACAGGCAGCTGGGCAATACGCTGTTATCAGTGCTCCTCGGATCAAGATCGCAAGGGTCACGACAGCTGCGGCGCTTACAAAAAATTCAATCGCACGGAACACATTGCCATCGAGTGCAACAGCGATGAGAGCCACATGCCCGGCTCCTTTTGCATGAAAGTGGTGCAGCAGGGACCCAGAGGATTCATTTGTTAGCAACCCATACTCTTACTCTAACTTTATGCATTCATTAATGTTTGTTCTTTGCTTGCTTTTCCCTAGGGGACGGCCGCTGGCGTCAGGTCATACGTCGCTGTGCCTCTGTCTCGGATACGGGCGTGACGGGCGTCTGCAATTGGGGCGTCTACGAGAATGGCGTTTACTGGGAGGAATGCTATTGCTCCAACGACAGCTGCAATGGCTCCAGCTTGCTGCAAGTTCACTCTTCGTTGCAGCTCTTGCTGGGCTTCCTGCTAATGGGCGCCGCTGCAGGATTTATGCGCAGCTAAGAGGAGGATGTGCACCGGCCGCTGCCGCAGGAGTTTGGGAATTAATCCCCCAACATTTGACACAAAAGACAGTCACCATTTAGTGCCTTTAACACTGCTCTTTTATATTAGTTGTTAAGCCACACAAACTATCAAAATTCCGTCCACATTCTGTCCATATCCTTAGCCCTAAGCTCGAATGTTTTACACCGCGAATTTCGTGCCTAAAATCGAAATATATCAAATCTATAAACGATCATCTTGCTGTGCCAATGACTTGAGACCGGACTCCGTCCAGATGGAGCAGGGATACTTGGCTGTGGCCACGTACACAATGGTGGAGCCATCCTCAAACTCCTTCATGGCCGCATAGGAGCGGCCCTCCTCCACCCAGACACGCTGCTCCTCGCCCATGTCCTGGGAACATCCGTACTACAGAGAGGATCACCCAATAATTCTGTTGCCGTGGTCTGTGCCTGGGTTGCTACTCACCCACTTCTGGTACCATTCCAGCGGCTGATTCTTCTGCGTCCAGCGCAACGCTTTCAGGTAGAATACCAAAAACTTGTGCACATTCTCCTTGACCTCTGGCGATTGGGATTGATTTAATTTGGACAAATCCTGCAGCATGGTGCGGCAACATTCCCTGTCCTTGGGTCGTGCCAGCGACTGGCAAATGCCCTGCGCCACGCTTCGCATGCAAGCGAATTCCTCGTCCAGCAGTTCGTTGAGCTCCACGAAGCTTTCCTTCCCGACACACCGACCATCGCACATCAGCTGCGGCTCCTGCTCTCGGTCCGGATCCGAACATGGTGCCGAGCAGCAATTCATGGAATTGAATTTTGATGCGCGAAAAAAACGAAGCTAGAAAATTAAATTCAATATTTGAGTGTAATATTTGTGTGGGAATTTGAAAGTAGAGTCAAAGGTGGAGTTTCGTAAGGGGGAAAAACATTTGTAGTTAGGCGAGGAAATTATGAAACAGAAACCGTTTTATTAGCAAGTTAGGAGCTGTTCTTCCAGCTTAAAGAGAGAACACTTCGTATCCCCCCATAGCCCAGAACAGATTTCAGCGCTTAAAATTATAATTATTATAAAATCAATACATTTTCTCTTTCCTTTTTTTTAACATTTATTTTATAATTTATTTTTGATCTTGCCAAATGTTGCTTTACAATATTTGTAATTTAACATTAACTTAAGTTTATGTTTCAATTTATTTTTCTTGGTTTTCTTTTGTTTTTATGAACTGTTTTTTTATGAAGAGCAATTGCGTTTTCTGCCAACAGTTAATCAGTTTAAAATTGTACGCTAAAATTGTTATTTATATTTAGTATATTTATGTATATAGTTTATAATGTTTATGTTTCTTGTTCTTGTACACTAAAATCGACTCTTTCGCTATGCTTAGGTGCTATGTATTGTTATAGATCGTATGATTATAAACAAATAAACATAAATTGTACCTACAAAGCAAAACATACTTTTGTTCTATGAAAATGTGTGCGCCAGTGATAACAATTAAAATTCGAATTAAATATATTATGTGTTTGTTTTATTTGCTAGGGTGCATGAGTGAAATGAGGCGAACTCTATGAGTCTACCGTCTACTATCCACACGATAATACATCAACTTCCTGGCGATCCGAGAACGAAGTGAAAAATATTTGCTCAATGCGAAATGTTTCCGAAAAATCTATGAACAATCTATGGATGATGGGATGGGTATGGGTTCGGATAATGTGTGGGTGTACGGTGTATGTTTAAGAAGCCAAAACTTAAATGATTCAAAAACACACTTGTAGCTTGGGTTTATGCGGTGACCGTGTTAGAGATAAGTGTTTGTTAGTCGTTCGTATTCGTAGCTCTCAAAGAGTTAAAATATGTTGCGTATGATTACAAGTTTTAGGGGAAAGCTGTGCAAAAATCAAATAAATAAATATTATATTTAAACTAAAATGGACACAGTCCAGATCCCCAAAATCTGCATTAGAGTATTCACTTGAAAAACACAATCAAAATTGGAATTATGAAATTTAAACTAAACTTAAAGAGCCAAACTAACAGCTAAATTACAAATATTAATACCAATTAAGTCAAATTTATGTTCTAATGAGCATTTTTTAAATCATTTTAAAGCGCAAATTTCCCTTCAAGACTTCTTCTCCAGTGGCTGCACCGCATAAACCGCGTTTTAACACTTTGAAACATCGTTTGACAGACAGACACATACACACACAAACATTATTTAAGACTAATTGAAACAGTTGAAGCTGTTTTCATTCGCTATTTGTTGGCTGTTGTTTGCTCTAAGAAAGTGTAAACAAAATCACATTTAAAGCCGATCAAGAGAGAGAGAGAGCGGGAGAGAGCGAGATCTCAAACCACAATGGGCGTACGACCATCCAGAGTTTTGCTATCCGTCAGATTCGATGACAATGAGCACGATGTGTTGTTCTCGTCCTCGTTGAGCTGCTGCGGTGGATTGTGCAGCTGCACCTGCTCCGTGATCGTGCGCGACTCACTGCAGGACTGCAGCAATGTGGGCGAGTCCAGATACTGAGGCTGAAGCAACAAGCCGCTGGGATGCGCGGGCGATGGTGTGTGTATGGCATACAGCGAGCTGCTCGATGTCGAACTGCAGCTGGATAGGGGCAGCAGCAGCTCCACATCCACTGGCGGCGAGGGACTCGGACTCGGACTGGGACTATTCACCTGTGTCACAATTGTCTCCTCCTCGCTGCTCGTCAGCTCATTCAGCTGCGCCACTGTCTGATGGATGCGTATGTGCTCGGTGTCCAACCCATCCGGTTCATTCAGCTTGTAGTACAGCTGCAGACTGTCATCCAAAATGGGCGCAAAGAGGCGCCGAAATTGCCTAAGCAGTTCCGCCTCCTCCGGCCCTGGCTGCCCATCGTCCCCCGTCGTCGTCGTCGTCGTCGTCGTCGTGTCCATTGTCATCTTTGGCATCTCTGTTTGGTAGAAACTAAAAGCAATTGCATCATCCTCTACGACTGTTGTCTGGCCATGCTGGCCAACAACTTCTATTGAGCAATCTTTAACACTTCGTTGACCTCGTCAGACTTTGCCCTTGGGCGATTTGCATTTCGTTGGCGTGGCGCTAAAAAGAACAAAATTTAAAGATTTACTTGAAGGAGTGGCTTTAGTGACTCACCCGCTGGCTTCATCTTTGCCCGTTTGGGTTTGTGCGGTGGACACTGTGTTCTTGCTGTAGGGTGCCTGAAACGAGGTCGATGTGATGGTAAAGTAACCACCCGGTTTCGGTTTCAAATGCCTGTTGTTCATCTGCATGTGCACAGTCTTCATGAACTCAATTTGATGCGCCAACTTTTGGATTTGTTCCTGTGAAAAATCAACAAATTTTGTGGTTTAAAAATCCTCTTCAGGGGCTTCTGCCTCACCTTGAGCTCTTCATTCTCCTGATACAAATCGGGTGACTCTTCTGCCACCAGGCCAACGCCATTCAGCGAGAAGGAAGCTGTAATGCTTCTCACTTTGGCCTTCTGATCCCACTTGTCGCCTTGTCCCTTGAACACGCGCAAGATTTTAGGACCAAAGACCAAAGCAATGGTTGTGGTGGTCGATAGTTGGGTGCGCACAAAGCCCAGCATGTACTTGTAGTCGGGTCCAGCTTGGGGGAAGAGCATGACGCTGTTTGAGAGGAGAAATTGGTGAATTTATCAATGTTTTAGGCGTACAAAAGTAAGCCCAAACATGCAACCGCACAGTAGAGTAACGGACCCTGACCAACAGTTGCTTGAATTTCAATTAACAAATTAAAACCTAGCAACAATAAACACATCTTAGGCAGCCCTCAATTTAATTGTGATGCTCACATTCACACTTGAAGTTTTTTTCTTACGATTTCCTGCACCTTTTCAGCACCCAATCAACACTTTAGGCAAACGTAACCTAACCTGCCCCAAAGTTTTAAGGACTTCCCACCTACGTTGCCAACAAATTGCATTAATTATATAGATATAAAATAAAAGCGAGAGAGTTCTTCAAAAAGGGATGCCAATTTGAAAACCCAGCAAACCCGCAGACAACTTGAAACCGAAAGGAATGGTCGGGTCGGGAGTGTCTATGCAAACAAAGAGCAGAGGGACTGACAGACAGACAGTCGGAGAGACAGACAGTGAGGCTGTGCTGGCAGGCCAACAAAAAAGGATTACAGCGCGAACACGAGCGCGCACAAAGCAAAGGAATTTAATTAAAAGGGCTAACCAATGGAGGGCTTGGAGCGCGTGCAGGGAGGGACCAGCTTTACCCCTAATGGGCATGGATTACCCGAAGCAGCAGCAGCGGCATGTGTCAACTGTTATAATTCAATTGTTTGTTGCACAAACAGAAAGGGATCAGAACTGGGACACAAACAGGTAAAGATTTGTGCTTACTGAAAGACCACCATGGCTATGTTGACCAGCGCAATGTTGTAGATGGCATACGAGATGAGTCTCGCCTCATTATAGAGACTCTCCGCATTGCGCACATTATAGCAGACGCGTATGCCCCAGGCCAGGAAGAAGACCTCACCAATGGCCAGACTGTGATCCCACCAGTTGTACGAGCACTGTTTGAATTTTAGATGATGTTTGTCGTAGATCTACAGAGGAATTGGATCGAATTTTAAATGGAAGTATCTTTTGGGTAGATGTTTCATGCTCTGCCACTTACCACCTCCGCATAGGGCGTTGCCGAAATGGTCCAAGTACCCAAATATATCAACATGACCAACAAAATGGGCACCATCCATTGCAATAATTGTTGATCATTCAATTTGATTTTGTGCGCTGACTTGACGCGATAAGTTAGAGAAACGCTGTGGGGTGGGGTGTATTAAATAGTAAATATTATTTGGCAATAGTTAAAGGCTTTGTCTTACCGCCAAGTTTTCATCAACAGCGATGTGTAGGTAATGCAAAAGCCCATGTGACGCGACCATTTGGTGACAATGCACCAACTCGTGTCCAGATAGGGGAATATAGCCACCATCTGTGAGGAGAGAAGAGATTGACAAAGATTTGTTAATTAATGCAAGATCTTGGCAAAAAAAATTACATTTTTATTGTAGGAATAATTCGAGTGTTTCTACAGCTACTAAACCCAAGTTTGCTCAAGACTTTGCTGCATCCTCCGCTGGCTTTTGCTCTCTCCTGATACTTGCACCCTCCTCCATGGCCAGACTATCCCCACGCGGCACAACTACAGCCATGCCTGGCTTTATGCACTGCTCACACTGCTCCATCCCCGGCGTGTACTCCTCAATCTGTATGGTTGTCTCAAAGAAACGATAACGCTTGTGGATCATGGTCGTTGCTTCCTCCAGTATGCGCTGAGCATCCGCATCCTTTTTGATGGCCAAATGTGCGGAGAGCGCGACCTTATTGATGCTCAGCGCCCAAATGCGTAGATTGTGCACATGCTCGACTCCTTCGATGGAGAGAAACTGACGCTGCACCTCATCGTAGTCCATGTAGTCGGGTGTGGCCTCCATCAGCACCATCAGCACATCCCGCAGTATGCGGAAAGTGACCAGCAGCACAATGATGGAGAACAGGAACGTGCAGATGGCATCCATAAATGCCCAAGCGGGCTGAAAGAAGATGATCAAAGCGGCCACAAAGACGCCCACACTCTGGATCATATCGCCAATGACATGGATCATGGCAGCACGCACATTGATGTTCTCCGTTGTCGGTTGGGCGGTGTCCAACACCTGACACTCAGCGTGATCCAGCACGCGCGCCTGGCGATTCATTTCCCCGGGTTCATAGTGCGGTGAGTGCCCATGTCCATGATGCAGCTGCACGGCCATAATGACATTGAAGAGAATGGCCACAGCGGATGTGATTAACATGATTTTGGCATCCACCACATGCTCACCCAGCCACAGACGCTGTATGGCCAGCCAGACGAGAATGCCTGCATATAAAGGGGGAACTTAACGGTGAGTTTCTTAGCTATAAAAATCGATCTATCACCTGTTATCACCCATATAAAGTACACAGAGATCATGGCGCCAATTACCTCCGCCCGATACCAGCCAAAGTTCATGCGCTGCGTCTTGGGCCTCGCGCTGATGTACAGCGCAAACAGAGAGATGAGAAACCCAGCCAGATCCGTCAGCAAATGCGCTGCATCTGTGGCTATGGCCAGGCTTTTGGACAGTATGCCACCGACCACTTCGATGAGCATAAACAGGAGACACAGCGCACAGGCTATGAGCAGTTTACGGCGTGCTGCCTTATCGATGCCTTCGTGTTGCACCTCCAGATGGCAATGGTCACGCCACTGCGTCTTGATGTGCGTGTGTCCCGTGATGATCAACGTCCGCATGGACTCTGCACGCGCCAGCGAGCTCTTGCTCGCCGCACGAGACTCTTTCTGCTCACGCTCCTCATCATTCTCCTCTGTATCGTTGGCGGGTTTGTCCTTGAACTTGACATCGTTGGGATCCACTGTAGGAGCAGGCGGGGGTTCAGGCTTTTGAGGTGTCGCTGGACTTGATGGTTCTGGAGCATCTGGAGCTGGAGCAGCTGTCTCTTCTTCGACGGGAGGTGCTGCACTCTTTAACGATCTATCCACCACCTTCGATGCAGCAATAATCGATCCTTTTGGCAGGGGACTCTGAAAAGGTACCGCCAGGACGTTGAGTAGAACCACTCCAGACGCTGTCGATGGCACAACCAACGGTTTGGTCTCTGTCGGTGGGCAGTCCAACGATTTCTCCTCCAACTCTTTGGCCTCCATCGTTGGCACAGCCGAAGGTTTGGCCTCCATGGAGTCTGTGGTTTGCGTGCTGGCCGTTGGTTTTGGCTTTTTATACGACTTCGGATTGGAGGCTGCCTCAATACGATCCAATTTGCCTTCCAATTCCGCCGATAACTGCTCCTCACTTGCGTACTTGCTTTCAGTTTCCAACTGCATTAGGGAGCCAGGTTCAACGAAGGCTACGGACTTTGATGAGCTTCTGTGATCTTCGGTTTGCTGCTCCTTCTTGTTCCTTGTTTGTTTTTCTTTCTGCCTTTTCTCTGCCTCATTTTTGAGCTTCATCGACCAGGTGGCCTCTGGCTCCATCGACGAGCCTGTCGCTGGCTCCATTCCAGACTGATTTGGCTCCAGCGAAGCTTGATCTGGATCGGTAGTCTTTCCACTATCATCACTCGATTCGACGCTTGTTTCACGTACCTTCGCCTCAGCGCTCTGCTGCGGCCTCTTCATTGACGCCGAACCACTCCTTCTGGGTTTCTGCGATTCGTTGAGGTCCGCATACCAGTTGTTCAGCGACTCTTCGAACTCCGCGGACCACGTCTTTGCTGGTTCACGAAGCTCCTCTTTACTATCTCCATTTTCGATTGATATTTCGGGGCCCTCCTGCTTCGGCTTTCTCTTATTTTGGAGTCCACGTTGAGTGACTTTCGGGGCTGCCTTCTTGTGCTCCGCTGACCAAGTTATATGCTGCTTCCTTGAATTTGTCATGCCCTCCGTTAACGAATCCTGCGAATCCACATCTGGAATACTGACAATATCTTTGAGTGCCGCCTGCAAAGCATCTTCGTCTTCTTCCTCGTTCTCATCGTCGTAGCGGAGTCCCTGCGTTGGCGCTTTCTTTTTGTTCCGCTTCATCTTTCGCTTTCTTTAATAATATTTGCTCTCAACAATTTGATTAGAAAATCAGCAACAATTTAGTTCAGTTTAACAATCGCTCGCTTGTGGCACTTTATTTGCAGGCTGCTCTTAACCCATTTGCTTGGCACAGGTACTTATTGTCCTTTGTTAATGTTGGCCATTGTGAGAGTTCTGTGGAGTTCTAGCAGAGGGCTTTTATGCGTGCACTGGGGCAAGGAGGGGGCTGAACTGGGATTGCACTGTGGTTTTGCTAATGTTTACAACAAAATTGCCAACAAGGGGGCATTAAGTTGAGGTTTAAACAGGTCGAATGTGAGGTGCTCTTTCCGGGAGGGTTTTCTGGAAATTTGTAAGGAATTTTTGCAGATTTCTGCGGCTGAATTTATATTTTAACAGGCTTTATGCACATCCAAAGCATTGGTTTATGGAGCAGCAATCTGTGTTTAAATATGTTGAATGTCTGATTCAAATCCTTTTTCTTCCTGTCACCAACTGCACCAAGAAATCTCATATACCCTTGCCGCCAGCCAGTGCCTAAAAGCCGCATTTAAAAACACATAAGCAGACGCCTAATGTTGCGGTTGCCATCCAGGATTCCCTAACTGCCCAGAAGTAGCAAAAGTAAACCCCCCGCCCCACATGTGGGTTAATTATGAATGAGCCCAAAACGGAGTCAGAGTCCTTTTGTTACATTAGCTAAACATTGTTACCAAATGGTCTTTGTGTGTGCCTTAATGGGTTAAAAGTGTTGGCCTAAAACAGAAAAAACTCACCTCCAGATACATGATGGCGCAGCCAATGAGGGTGATCATCAAAAAGATGGGGCTGGCTACCTTAAAGACTTTGACGCGACGGTGCCGGAAGAGATAGCCGGCGAGGACAAAGGTGCCGCAGGCACAGCCAATGGATATGGTCAACAGTGATATTCTAAGGAACAGAAAGGAGAGGTGAGGCACATATTGACATGGAACAGAGGGGACACTTGAACACATTGAAGCATGCCAGAGTGTGGTGTGCAAACACACGCAAACACACACCTGAAAGGCCAATGATAGTTGGCCAGACATGGCTCCGGACCGGTGCACATGTCACAGCCGGGGGCACATGGCAAACACTTGAAGACATCCGTATAGTAATTGCTTATATTGTCCTGATGCTCCTGCCATGCAATCTCCATGATGGTGCCATTGAAGCCATCCGGATGTCTCAATGAATAATAGCCGGGCTTGCACAAGCACTGATACGAGCCACGGGACCAGCTGCTGCTCGTGAGTGCGGTCAATATCTTGCCGCTGCTTATTGTCGGTGTCTCCGCATTCGGCTGTCGATAGTCGCACTGCAAAAGGGATCAAACGTACAGGAAATTGTACTAATTAAATGACTCCAACTTACCACCATGGAGGTGCGATGACACTTGTGTGAGCTGTGAAACGCCTGCAAATCATTGATTGTCGCCTCATCGTTTAGGGCCGCCGCTGCCGACTTGCTGGCCGCCAAACGGGGATAGCGCCGCGTGTGGCTCAGTGGCTGCTGCTTGCGAGTGCCAAAAAGATACTGCTGCGCCTCGCATTGATTGACACGCAGCGACGTTACATCAATGTCAATGCTGATGAAGCCGCGCAGTCCATGCCGTCCGCTGGGCGGTATGGCGATGCTATACGACACCAGCCACTTGCTGAGGGCGCACGAGAAGTACGGATAGGTCCACCAGCCTTTATAGTAGTTGCTCGGTGGGCTAGGTGCAAATTTCGGTGAGCGGAGCGTCGGTGTGCTGCTCTCATCGTCGAACCTAACCTCACAAAAAACAAACACATGGTTAGAATCATAAATGTTAATGGTAATGGCATTTGTGGGTTGGGTACATACCACGGATAATTATTGGCCGGCTTTTTGCCTATTTGCAGTCCCTCTTCATCGTAGCGCTGTGTTTCGCCGAGGACTTTGTCCTGATTGCTCTTCACCCACCACACATACGACTGCACCGCACCGTTGGTCAGGTTCAAAGCCAAAATGCGCGCTCCGGTTATAAAGTCATCAGTGAGCAGGCCCTTGGCTAAGGCATCCGAGAGTCCTGAGAGGAAATGAGGATCTGGGTCAGTCACATGGTTGGGGTTGTTGCAACTGAAAAGTTATTTCAATAATTGCTGTGCGAGGCAGCACGAGAAACATCCCGGCGGAAATGAAATGGGAAACTCACAGACCGGCACACGAACGCAGAGTGATTACAATTTGCACTTACATTTCCCCCAAAATGAATTGGCCATGTCACTGCACAGCGTGAAATTACGCCGCTCACAAATTACTCAACTTTAATTATTTATGGGGCGCAAGAGCTTCGATGTCAAGCGATACCAAGTAGGCATCGATCACGAGCGCCATTTAATGGTAAATGCATCTCAATTGTTGATTGCACTGCAACAATTGCCGTGGTATTCTGACCCCGTACAGCAAATTCCACTTTGCATTTAAAATTAATTTGATCAATTCACAATTTACAGGAAATGCGCGCTTATTGCACCATCGCATAGAGCGCTGCCAACTTGGTGTTAAGTAATCGATTCTACCGCCTTTGTACATACATTTAAATTACAGTTGAATGTACATATGTATGCATATTAATATACATTTTAAAATATGATCAAATAAGTTATTCCATTCATAATTTAAAATTGAGTTTGTCATTTTACATTGCAGCATCGTTTGCGCGAGTGCTGCCAACTTATTGGGAAACGATATTTAGGTACAAATACAATTGGCACACATTCATATTGTACATTGTTCATAAATAAATACATATATAAATAAAAAGTAATATTAATGAATTGTTTATTGCAGGTGTATTTCATTCAGGCAATAAATACCGTCAAGACGATACTTAAATTATTCCAAATCCCTTTCGCAAGTACCCCTTATTTTATTCTGCATCTGATATTAGCGGATGAGCACCACTAATGGTAATTTGGTAATGAATTATGGCGGGCTTTTGCTTCGTGGCATTGTTATCTGATTGCTTTGTGGTGAAATGCAACTTTAGCCGTTTAACTCTGCACATCTGTTACTGTTATTGCAGCCTTGGAACAGTCATTAAAAGCAGCAGCAGGCTCGCTGGTGCTGCTGCTGCTGTTTCCTATGATGCTGCGTTCAGCCTTGGCAAAAGTGTCAACCCTAGAACAATGATTAATATGCGCGGCAGGCCAACAGACGCCCATTCCCTCCAGCACTTGTACAGCACCATGGCTGTGTCCCTATCTCCCTCTCCCTCTCACTATCCCACTCTCACTCTCTGTGTGTGTGAGTGTCGTTTGTCGTGTGTGGGCGGTGGCTGTCAAAAGCTAATATTTTTTCCCACACTTGTCCGCCTCCATGCAGGGTATGTTAATAAGAAGGTTAGGCAGATAAGAGGCCAGAAATACAAAGAATAGGCTTATTTGTAGTAAGACCGGACAGGCCTTACCTTGCCTTTCTTGTACATTGCAGACGCCTCCTCTTCCTTTTGCTTTCTGTTTGACTTTCAAACCAGCGAAAAGTGAGAAAGAAAGAACGAAAGCACGCGAGACCGAAACGAGAATTGTTTACAAAGTAAACTTATTTAAATTCGATTACCGCAACTTCCGTGGCACTTTCCTTTTTTTCATGTTTTAGTGTGTACAGAACGGCGCGCAGAACTTGCTACTTTTGATTTCTATTCTTGTTGTTGCTGCTGTGCGCGGTACCGTTACATCTGTGAAAGTTCCGTTCCCTTCAGCAAGCAAAAGGGCCATATAAACCGTGCACGTGCACATTTTTTTTAGTTCGTAAAGTTTTGCAGAGAGATCTTCTCTTGAGAGGTGGATTGGTGAGAGAAGAGAAGAGAATGCGTACTCACAATGTATGCGTGTACTTAGTACATACATATGTATGTGTGTATATGCTGTATGTACATATGAACGCAGGTTGACGCGTCATGACGACTCCAGCTGAAGCATCTCATACACACATGCATACATACATATGTAGTACGTATTTCGATAAAGGCCGACAGTGGGTAAGTGTTTGAAGATATTTTTTGAATAATAATACATATTCGAATAATATTATACGGATACTTTCAGCGTGAAATCATAATTTTTTGGTTTTTAATTTAAAAAAAAGAAGGGGTTCTAGTTTTGGGCTGATTTTGAATTACTAAAAGACATGTACACAGACTTTTCTTACCGACTATTTAACAAAACAACTTTTTAAATTCCTGAAAAACATACCAGCCCTTGACTCTTTAGTCTGGCAAACTGATTCGAACTGCTCACTTTTCACGACAATTCGGCAGATGATTTCCATTCCTAGTAACGCTTGACCAGCACAGACGGAACTATACTGGAACTATAAAAAATTCAAAAACTTCAAACAAAAATTTAAGTTTTTCGGTGAAACAGAATTTCACTCAAAGCGTAGAATAAATTCACACCAAAGATGTCCGACTATGAGAACGTGTCTGCCGTCGACCAAGAGCTGCAGGATTTCCTGGACCTTGAGAAACAGAAGGCTCAGGTGAATGCACAGTTGCACGAGTTCAACGAGATCTGCTGGGAGAAGTGCATCGGCAGGCCCAGCACCAAATTGGACCATGCCACAGAGATGTGCCTGAGCAACTGCGTGGACCGCTTCATCGACACTTCGGTGCTCATCACCAAGCGCTTTGCCGAGATTTTAAACAAGCGCAATGGGGTGAACAATAGCTAGGAAGTTTCTGATGGCAAAAAAAACAAAATTTCAACACAAACGAAAGGCCGAACAATTGAAGAAAGACACAAGGGCCACAAGCAACAACATAAATATATAAATATATACATATATATGAGTAGAGAGAACCCCATCTATGACTTTGCCCTGATGGCACGCAGCAGCTGTTACAGCAACAAATCGTTGATGGTAAACAGCATTAAGCAATGGCTGTCAACCGGGGAGAAAGGTAACACACGGCAATATCTACGGAGCATACTTCATGGAATGATATGTGCTTATGTTTGTGTCAGTTGCTCATTCATCATCTGCTACGCCATTTGGATTCGTACTCACTTGTAGTCCACCATCAATCTTATGCTTTCAGTTGTTTGCTTTTTTTTTGCTAGTTCTAGAATTTATTGCTGGCTAGGTCGAATGTTGTTGCTGCCAAAAAGGTGTGTAAGTATAAACATTTTCAACTTTTCCAGCAATTGTAGCAATTTGTGTGGGTGGAAACAAAAGCTCGCATATGCCTGGGCGGGGAGTGTGTGAAAAATTGGCCATTATTCAAACTACAGTCAGACAGGTTCTTGCCTGTCTCTCGTCCCTCAGTTTTTGTGGGATTCCGTAGGTATTTTGTTTCTGTCAGCTGTTTGGTTCTTTTTTTTGCCCTGCAGGAATAATTAAATTTTGCTCAGATTCGGTTGAGTCTGAAATGGAGCTTGTGGCTCATCAGCAGAATTAACTGTGGTCTGGTCAGGGCAGGGCAGGGCAGGGGGCTTGTCTGACAATTAAGTGCGGCTATTGTGTCATTCAATTTGAAATTAATTCTTGGGTAGTGCAGGAAATGAAGATGGAAAATCAGAGCATGTCCTGTGTCAGTTTTCAATTGAATTTTGTAGTTTTTTTTTTGGTTTTATTTCTTTTTTATTCTTTTGTTTCTTTGTTCAAAGAAATAATGGAAGGACATGTAAAAGACGTTCAAGAAAATGTTACTTAGAAAGTGTTTGATTTCTTAGCAGTTTTTAATAAATCAATGAATACAGCAAAATTCTCTAAGAACATAAGCCTTAATGGTTTTAGGAAACCCATTTCCGGTGCATTTCATTTTCATTTGGCTTAAATGGAAAAACTTGAAAAGGAAAAGCAGCCAAAGGTTTCGCAAACTTAAGCCCCTTACTCCTGCTCTGCTCCGTCCCTTTACTTGTCATATTTTTCAGTTAAACGCAGTCAGTCAGGCACTGGGGAGCCTCCCCCAGACCCCTTTGGAAGTGAGTTTGACGTGACTGCGACTGCTGTTGCTTCCGTTGCTTGGGTTGCTGTTGCTTTAGTTTGGCTGCCAGTTTTTAAATTGGCTTAAATTTATTCGATTTGTGAGTCACTTTATGGGTATAATTTATGCGTGGCATATCAGAATATCAAGAGGGCAGGGCAGAGGGAGACAGGCAGTGGCGAAAGACGGGGCGACAGGCAGAGAGCGAAGACGGGGAGACAGGCAGAGAGACGAAAAAGAGCGACGGCTGTGCGACAAGTGCCAAAAATTGTATACAAATGGGAGAGCTGCGCTGCCGCCTCCTGTTGCTGCTGCAGAGCTCAACAGGATGATGGAAGAATAAGAGAAGAGCAACAACAAAAGGCAGCAGCAAATTTGCTTTCGCTTTATGCGAGTTTTCGCTGACACGTCGCACCTTGCTGCCAGCACACTGCACAGAGAGAAAGAGCGAGAGAGAGAGCGACAGCCAGTGATGGAAAGAGAGCAAAGACAGAGCAGCAACAGAGGGAGGATAGGGTGAATAGGTAGCGGATAGGGAGCGTTGGGGGGGGGGTCATGAAATAATGACCATAATGGCAACTTGTGCGCTTCAGCACTCACAGTCAGATGTGATGCCTTTTGCCTCCCCATCAGATGTGCTGCTGCCTGTGGCTCCTGCCTTTGCCTCCCCTGATTATCCCAAAATGGCGATGGGTTCATTGTGCGTTTTTGGTGCTCTGTGCTTGTCCTTGACTATTCAAGACCATCCGATAGTCCAATACACTCCAAAAACAATTGACTAATATTAGTTTTCAATGTAAAGTGCCGCCACTTGGACCTACATCATGTGCATAAAACATTTAATTGGCATTACATTTTCCCAATTAAAAATAGCAGATATTTGTGCTTATTTTTTTTGTCAGTGTATGCCCCTACTGATGAGCATTGTCAAGGCTGTTGGGAATGAAATGAAAGTCTCTCTCGCCCTGACAGCCGCGCGACAGCATTGGGGTTGACAGCGAACGACGCACTTGTGGCGCATCAAGCGAGGAGCCAGGAACCCACACAGTTCCTACATATACATATGTAAATATGTATATTTGTATACATTTATGTACATATATGTATGCACTGTGCCTTTTGTCGTTGTTAGCCCCATGTTAATGCTGTAGATTTAATTTAAAGTTCGCATTGTGCGTCGTGTCATTTGCCACATTGGGTCCTTGTTCTCCACTGTGATTTACCCACGGAAAACAGCCCAGCCCAGCACACACACATAAAGGGAGAGCAAGGACATGCATGACAGTAAGCACAACAAATATACACAACAAATTTACAAGGTTCAAGTGTGAGGGGGAGAGAGAGAAAGGAATTGTGAAATGGATATCAGATTTCCACTTAAGGGATAATCAGAGTTGTGCTTTGGACTGGTGCGATTTGGGGTCGGAATGTGTTGTAATTGTATTGAAAGATATCGGCTACATATATTTATTAATTTGTTAATTGAGTCATTTATTTGTGGGTTGTATGGAATATAATAATGGAACTATTCCAACTAGGAGAGCTATTCAAAAATATACTCCATTTTCCCAGACCTAAAAGCGCTGCCTCTTCTGGTGGTAATTGATGACAAAGCTCCATTTTCTAGCAACTAAAAGGCTGTTTCCCATTAACACAAATATTTACCTGGCATATTCTACTTTACAAAAATTATGCAAATTTTCTGAATACAGAACTGAAGGCCGGAAAGAGGCTGGAGTCCATCGCCATAACAGAAGCTCATTCGGTTTTATTACAAATTGTTAGGCCCCGGCATTGAAGCCAAATTCTGCACACAAAAAACCGCGCAGAATACATTTTAATTTCGAAGGGCAACTACAAGGAACTGCCATGGAATGGCTGTAGCCTTTGCCACCGCATTTAATAACTTGAAATTGAAAATTGCCAGCGCTGCTTCGAGCTGTATCCCACGCTCAGAGTCGTGTCTGTGCCCCTCATGTGAGACACGCATATTGACATTGGTACGTCGAGCAGGAAATGACATTCTCCTGCAGACCGAAAACCCACCAAGCACCGCACAAGCACCTCCCAATCGCCCACACAAGAAACAGCAACAAAACCAATAATCGATGGAGGGATCAATATATATATGGAGAGGGAATAGAACTCACCGCCGTGTCGTATGATGCCAACTTCCTGTAGTATCGATGCGGCCAAATCGGCCTTTTGTCTGGAGCTCTCATAGCGCTCCGAATTGATGGGCACTTGAAGCGGTCGATAGAGCGTCGAGATGCATAATGTGCCCAAGTTTTCGGTGGCAATGTCGTGTATCGTCACCAGCGACTCTTCAATGGCCTCCTGTTAATGGTTAGCACAGAAATCGCTCATCATTATTATTATCTGACCTGCCCGTTGAGGTGGGTTCACCCTCCAAATTCTATGTATTCAGCGGGCAACCCAAATCATTTGTTTTATGTGCTATTCAAACACTTTTGTTGTGGTTTTTGTTTTGTTTTTCCCCCCATTAAAAATACATTTTAGGCTAAAGCAAAAAGAATTCATGGTGCCCAGCCATTATATCGAAATTTTTTTGATTTTTCAGACCCTTTTATGTGGAAAATTTGAGTGCAAAATTTGTTGGTCTCTTCTAAGCGTTTTCCCACAGAATTGTTGGTTTGTTCATCGATTTTTTGTCTCCAAATTTCTACGCTTTTTTGCTTAAATTTTGGTTGTTCTGTTGTACGCTTTTGAACCAAAAAGTTTTCATTGTTTCGGCGTTAAATTGCCGAGCAGGAAAACAAAAGCACAAAATTCGAGTTTCAACGGGAAGACATTTTTCAGTGATTGTTTTGTCTGTGAATTGGTGAATGCCTGAGCCTAGTTCTTGGTCAAGTAAAAAGCATGTTTAAGCCACTTTCAATGGAGTTATATATTCTCTCTGTGCAGTTTCTTGTGTCTACAATAAACCATAAATTCCCGAACTTTGGAGGGACCATTTAACCTAATTAGCCGGCGCTCATTGTGTGCACATTAAACCGCAACCAAAGTACACCCAAAATTGTTTTGAAATTCGAATAGGAGTACAGTGTGGAACATAACTATGAGAAAGGTGTAACTGAGGCTCTTTTTGTAGTAAAATTGATAGAGAATTCCCTGGAAAGTTTCAATGGAATGTTTGCTTCTTTGACTGCCAAAAGTTGCTGCTGTTTTATGCACTTCACTTCCATCACATTGAACTTGCTTTATGTGCCCGTACCGCACTGTACTTGACAGCAGCGCCCACTCCTCGTTCATTGAGCATTCATTAAGTGCAAAACTAAATAGCCACTCAGTACAGTATTTTGGCTACGGCATTGGTGCCGTAGTGAAGTGCATTCGCGTCTGCCACTGCAATTGCAATTCAATTAAGTGCGGAACACTCGATCCGAGTGGGTGCCTGCCACCTGCCTCCTTTCGTGCCCCACTTGTGGCCATTACTTCAATGGCACTTTAACTTAAGGACAGCTTAAAAAAGGATTAAACTGCGCCACGCAAAAACAAATAAATTCCGTTCTTTCACATTTTGCCAATAATTTCCATTTGTTTTTTTGCTGCACCAAAAGAGTGGCTCTAGTTTTAGTTTCTAAATGCCTTCAAGCTGTCTTACCCTTGTGACTGTGTTGCCATCGCCAATCCTGATAATATTCTTAAATGGATCCTCTTGGATGCCGGCCATGCCCCAGCTGTTTGTCGATTTTCCAACTGTCGATGCCGAGGCTGCTGTTACAGCTCCTCCTGTGGCTGCTGATGATGTGGCTGTCGTCGTCATCGTCGTCGCGTTGCTGTTTAGTGTTGTTGCCGTGGCCTCTGGGCCTGCAGCGTTGGCTGTTGTTGGTGTTGCAGCTGCTGCTGCTGCTGTTGCCTCGCCATGCTGTGCAAATGCCACAAGCAACAGCCACAGCAGCCACACCGGCAGCACCGGCCCGACTCGTGTTGCCACCAAACTGTGGCTGGCCACTTGTTGATGTCTCTGACAGATTCCATCTAGCAAGAGTCCAGCTCGTCTTCGTGCTTCTCCTCTGCTGCATCGAGTGTCCTGCTGCTCCTCCCGCTGCCTCTTCTTGCGCCTCCCTGCATTGAGCCAGCATTTCATTGTTGTTTTTGCATTTGCAACTGCAGCAGAAAGAGATAAATGGAGAGTGAGAGCGACTGGGATTAGTTTACAGACAACTTTGATGAGTTTCAAGAGTACTTTTCATCATTTACAGTATGTTTTTGCGAAGTTTACTAATTGTTTTGCTATGAATGTTGCCACCCCTACAAGAGGGGGGAAATTTCACACTGAAAAAAGGAAGCATATTTCAACTGAATCTTAGTTAACTTTTGTTGTGAAATTGAGTAATAAATTCATAATAATAATCTCTGACCTTTTGGCCAAATTCCTGTGAGAATTCTTTCCGCAAAAGCAACTAAAAATGCCATAAACTAGCAAAATCGCTGCCCAAACTTGAACCCTTAATATTCTGCAGTTGTTTGACACATTAACAACCCCCAATGAGCTACACCCCTGCATCTTGTATCTATTTTATTGAGCAGCTGCTCAATTAGCCTTCACTTTAGCTTTCAGCACATGCAAAAATGATGAAGTCAACACATAAATAGCTTGTTGAAATATTTATGTATGCTCGAGACAAAATGCAAACAGAACTAAGGGGAAAACAGGACTCTGGAGCTAAAGAAATGACAGCAAAAAGTGAAAGGCAGCGACAGATAGTATCTGTGTATCTGTGCGCACACCTGGTGGCTTACACATAAAAAGCAACTCGTAAATAAATACAAAAGACATAAATAAATACAAGAAAAAAAGAGAAGGCGTCGAAGAAAGTGGAAACCCCTTTTCCACATCCACTTTTCCGCTGAATGCTGAAAGCAAACAAAATGTAAATATCAAATAAAAAGCGTAAGAAAAAAGGGCCAAACTCGGGACAAATGTGCGACACATATTTTGCATTAGAAGGCGGAGCAAGTTTCAGACCAGACCACTTCGGTCTACACATACTCGAGGTCGAGGGTGAGGGTGAGGGTGAGGGTGAGGGGACTGTGTTTGCTTGTCATAAAAAATGGTTTCATCCAGCAAGAGGTAGAACTCCTTTGGCTGCTGCATCTCCTTGTACTGCCACGTGACGTGACCGATTTTATTTGCAGTGCTTTCAGCAACAGCAACAACAAATGTCTGCCATTTGTAAGAAAGTGTAATAATGGACGGGGCTACAAAAATATATGTGTATAAATGTATGGCCCTAAAGTCATGTATCGATTGGCATCCACTCTATTTCTTTTCGCACTTTACCTAAATGCTTCATGGCTGGGAAGTTCTAGGGAAGATGTAAAGGGAATGTGCGAGATAATTGACAAGGAAACAGTGCAAGAAATTAAAGAGTAACTTAAACTAAACAAAGATTAAATTAGATAAAGAAAAATTACTCGAAAAAACTAATAAGATTTGTTAAAGAGATCTAAGACATTTGAGTTTTATATAACCAAAGGTAGAAATATCTCTTTTGGCGTACAAAAAATATCAAAAAAACCCTAAACACAGCGCAGGCATTTAGCTCAATTGAATCTCCTTAATAGCCTGCACTTCCAGCTTCATTTAACTTGTTTGCTCAAGCAACTCATCCACATACACATACTCGTATAATTTGCATTATATTTTGTACATTTCTCATGGCTATATTCCACATTAGCCATTTGTTGGTACAGGGTAAATGTGTACCAAAAAAATGTGTCAGCCATTTGAACTTGACTGGCGACGAAGACAGGTGATGATGATGATGATGATGATGATGCTGGTGGAGTGATGCATCATTATGATGAACACCCACAGGGCGTCATGCGAGTATTTATTGTTTGCAGTTGGAAAATTCGAACTCAACCGCAGGAAAATGTTGGCGTTTTTCGCGTATCATGAGCATGACTAAGCAGCGTGCCATACGCTACAAAAATATACCCAGCCAGCCACGCAGCCATGTTGAGGAAATATGGACAATATGTAAAGGATTGAGTGGTGGAATGGCAGTGGGAGCGGGTTTCGGAGTAGGAGTGGACCTGCAGCCAAAAGCTGTATAAGGGTTCAGAGCAGCCCCACATAAATATAAGTCAACTCAAACCAAAAAAAAAAAAAAAAAAAAAAAAGAAGAGACATGTAAGCGGAAATGCTGTTGTTGATTCTAATTTTTTTGCAAGCTAAAATAAACACGAGAAGTAGAAGGACAGGAGCAGCAACAGCAAAAACGAAAGTCTGTGCCGGACGTTGGTTATGAGAAGAGTACCAGTGCCAGTGTGTGCACATTCTGCACATGCATACGGCGAGGAGCGGCACTCATCAGCAAAATTGCGAGTCGCTGAGTTTGTGGTTGATGGGAAAACGATTACTCGTTTCAGCAAAGACCTGAGCTGTGAGCACTTGCTGTTGGTTATTTTTGGTTTGATGAAGCTGTTCTTGATATGCAGACTTGATTTGGGTTGTTGATTGCATAAATTAATAGTTTGGAAAGGCAGAAAACGAGTGGAAATATTTGGAACTGAGGAACACGTAGCGCGACAGACTTTTTTGGATATAGGAACTGACTGTTTTAATTTCTGAAAAGTTATTTCTGGCAGTTTCTTTTTACTGAAAAAACTTCTTAAAAACTGAAACCTATTTGGACCTTAATTTTAATACATTTACATTGTCGGCTCTGGGCATTTTCTCTTTTTAGCTTGGATGCAAATTGAAAAATTTCAAACATTTAAACTTGAACAAATTAAAGACTCAAAACATTTTCCATTTTCCAACATTTTATAATAAATACTTTCTTTGATTTGTATCTTCGATTCTTTGGCCTGCTGACTAGTGTAATTATTTACGTTGAAAGTTTTATAAACTTTTGGTTTTCTATGCTGCCGCATTTGTTGTAATTCCCATATACATTTTTCGGGCATGGGCTGCGACCCAATTTGATTTTATGCAAAAGGAATTTGTGTTTTAGAAAATGTCTAAAATGTCAGAAAAATGTAGACATTTGGGTGTAGAGTCAGGTGTTTGCTTGTACGCTTCCCCCAAGTTAACACAGACCCTGATTGTATTTAGCAGTCTAAAGGTCTGCAGCTTCAAACGTTTATTAGCTTCCCAACAAATTGCTTTAGCCACCACTCCTCTTTCACTTCGATATCTATACCCTCTTTGATATCCGCACTTTCTCTTAATTGACAGACATCTGAAATGTAAATCCACTTGTTTCCACTTTGCATGTTGGATAATCTAGCCGAAAAGGCAACCCACTATACAACAAACTAAGCCGCCGGCAAAGGCGAGGTCCTGCCAATCAGTTTGGGGCACGCCTATCAAACATTTCAAATCTGTGGGACAATTTTTCTTGCCTCGCTAAAGACGCTTTTCCCATGAATTAGCTTAGCAGGGTTTGGCCTTGGGGTGAGGTTGGGGCTGGCAGAAGGCAAAAACTCCTGAGGCTTGCATTAATTTAATGAGGTTCCTTCTGCCTTTGATTTGGTTGCGGTTTTTTTTCATCCTCATTTTCCTAGACGTCCAAGTGTCGACGCTGCACGAAACTAAACGTTTCAACGCCTTTCTCTAGGTTTTTCTTTTTGGCTTTTTCCTTTGACTGCTAACAGAAATCCTGGCTGGCTCAGTGCCTCTCTCACAGCCTGCGGTCAAAACGTCACAACTCGACTGGAATAAGTGAAGTTGTCAGTCGGCTGTCGGTTGTCGGTTCTTGCTTGTTGTTTCCCTAAGCTGTTTGCATCTCATGTGTTTTGCATAATGTTCTGGACACGATTGAACATTCGATTCGACATGTATCAGCTTTCGCCTCCACAACCAAACTCTCTCACACTCAGATTAGTTTTGGGGGAAATTGGGTTTTCGATTATCAGTATCAGTGTTTAGGTCGAAAGGGAAGTATGCATGATACGTACATCGTTGCCCAAGTTTCAGGTACTTATTTCTTGGCTTGTTTTGCATCACGGTACGCATGCAGTGCTGCCAGTGCGCACCTGAACTGTTCCACTACTCACAGTAAATATGCACTTATACATATGTACATATGAACACACACATGGATCAAGCATATGCTTAGGTGCGGTAGCGGCCGTTCTTTCGTCTATTCTCGCGCTCTAGCTAAGCTTCGTGCGCAGCGTCAGCAGCAGCCCCGAAGCTGCTCCAACGCTCTCTCTCTCTCTCTCTCTCGCTTCGGAAATGCAGCCCGTCAGCGCTGCCGGTAGTCGATCGTCAATTGTCTTTTCGTTCCTAAATCTACCTGCGTGCGCTTTCGTTGGCGAAATAAACGGTAAATTGTGTTTGTTGTGTTAAATGTACCTACATATTAAAATGTGAAATACTCCCTTGAGTTAACTATATTTTGTGGACTGTATTCACACTTTGTGTAGTACTATGCAGAATTAAGCAGAGCGTACGCAGGTGTCTATAAAATATATATTTAAACTGAGCATATGAGTACTTAATATTATAGCCATTAGCTTATATGTACATATGTATAGATTATCAATTATTACTCGTTTGCCACCAGTTCCCACTTTCTTCTTCTTTCGCTGCTTTCTTTATTCTTTCTTAACGATGCCGTTTCTCAATAAACATTGCCAAAGCACAAACGGAGGAACACATATGTATGTCCGTACGTATGTATGTGCATACATATCTCTGTACGTATCTGTCTGCATGGAAACGTAATACCCACATTATAAAGTCATAAAACGCAAAAACAAACAATAAGAATAAGCGGAACCCACGCAGAGCGGGTGTGTGTGGTGAACAAGAACAAAACGAGTGAAAAGGGAGAAGACGAGGAGAAGCAGAAAAAAATCATAAAAATCAAATCAGGAATCTACTCAGGGGTTTGGGGTGGGTAGATAAATGCATTGCGATGGATTGCCCTCTTTCTACCACATAAAGCACATGAAATTATTATGATCGGAAATCAATGACAAAGAAAAACTGACAAAATCAGCAGAATGTTTGCTCAAATTCTCAATTGTTCAGCCAGAACGGCGTTTGAGGGTCTGAGAAGTGTTATAAAAGCAGCTTTTAATGGGCACAAACCCCAAGCGCAGCTTAAAGGACGCTTGACCCTACTTTGAGAGAGAAACGCACAAATGTGTAAAGCAGATAAAAACGTGTTTATGAAAAGGTCCCTCCCCAAAAGGCATAAAGATAGTTTAGATGCGATGAAAGGCGACGAAGAAGCTAAAAATAAAGCCACAGCGCAGAAGGGAAGGAGAAGGAAATGGCTAAGGGAGTGACTGAGGGAGGGACAGGGAAAGCTCAAAGTTTGTTTGCTTTTTGCCACAAACCAGGAAGTAATTTAGCCTATATCCATACAGAACAAAAAAAAAGTTTACTTTCGTATCCATGTCCCGTGCCATGGAGCAGTTGGGGCACTTTTGACAGGTGCAAGTGTTTTTGTTGTTGTGCTGTGGCCTTTAATAAGTTAAGTTACGCCGCCAGGTGGCAGAGAGAGGGACAGGAACACCAGCAAAAGTTGCAACGATTATGCGTAGTAGTGGGAAGTGAAACAGCAGGAAAAAAGGAACTGAAATGTGTCCGAATTTGATTAGACTTTGGACGCAAGGTGTCCTAAACTTAACACTGAAAACTTGCAAAAAATAATGCACAAAAAATGCGAACAAGAACGACCAAAAACCGCCACCAGCCAAAAAACAATAGCAACTATAAATTATATACCCATAAACTGTGGACAAATGTTATCCGGCGCTTTTTGGCTTGTAGTTTTTTTTATCGTCTCCCCATTTTTGGCCTTTTTAAGCGCATTTCATGGGGAAAAATGCACTAAAACAAAGAACATCATTTTAAGATGGCGGAAAGAATGCTGCGCCACAGAAGCGTATAAGCAGCAACCCAGAAAATAAAATAAAGCTAAGTACGAGCAGGAGCAGGAGCAGGAGCAGGAGCAGGAGCAGCTGAAATAGCAAAAACCCCGAGGAGGAATCAACGAGCAGCTGCGTTTGATGTCTTTAGCTGGAAGGCGCACCTGTGCATGGCAAGGCATGTCTTGACATTGCATTCTGCACCCAACGACATAAATATTACATTTTTTTCCAACTGTGGAACAGTTTTGGGAAGATTGTGAGAGAAGGGGTGATAGAAGTTGAATGGAGTAGGACAGGGGAAAAAATATAGAAAATGCTTTGGAAAGGCTTGGTTTTGTTTTAATATTAATAACGTTTATTATTAACGCTAAGTTTGCTTTATAAATGAAGTCTCCCTTTTAATTCCAACAGACTTAAAGCACCATTCAAATCCATATGCCACACACATGACCATGATGCAGTCCACAAGATGAAAATGAAACGAGATGGCAGCACGAAGCTGTCGCCGGTCCTGCCAATTGCAGTTTGCATATAAATTAGTGTAATTAAATGTCAGACAAGTGCTCGGAAACACACAGCAACAACAGCAGTGGGTAATTGTGCTTTTGATGCTTTAGCAATAATTATAGTACTTCGGGAGTTTGCAAGGTCACTGGGCTGGCATTTGCCCGATGTGACTGTGACTTTATGACTGAATTTGATGACTGAACTTGATGACACTTCACAGCGCTGAGCTGCGGCCACAACTCAAGTGAGGGGACACTTTTTTGGTGGTTGCTTAAAAAATATTTAAGTGGATAGACTTAACAAATGAGTGTCGTGCTTAGAGCTAAGTAACTTTATTTGAACCCATCTAGCAGCTTGATTTTGTTGCTCATTTTCATAAATTTCCATTAATTTCTCCAGCTATTTGTCCATCTACTAATGATCAATTTTAGTTTATTACTCCCTTGTGCATTTTTCTCCACCTTTTCATATTTAATTTCCATTAATTTCTGCCTCTATCTCTGCGTCTCTTTTATCCCACTTAACCCCCCATTTAACCTTCTGCTTGACTCCTCCCTAACCTCTCTCTTTTCCCTTTTTTCTCCTTTTCCGACCATTAAGTGCAGCAACAGCAGCTATTGGTACGTTCTTGAAACGTTTTAAAGCATTCCCCTTTTGCATTGGCAAGCAGCAAAAAAAGACAAGCAAAGGCAAAAATTAAAATGAAAGCTAAAAATTTGTTGCTGTTTGGCGTTTGACTTTCGCACAAAGGCAGCCACGGAGCCACGCCCATGGGGGCACCGGGGACCCGTAGACCCAGTGGTACGAGATGCAAATGAATCCGCTCGAATGGTTTAAAAAAAAAAAAAAAATGCACGCCCACTGCCAGTGCCTTTATCACACAGAACCATTTTGGGTTCAGTTTGTCGGTTATTTAGTTCTCTGTTTCATAGAGATATGTTTATGCAGATGTATGGGTAGAGATTTGAGTAATGAGAAAAGTTGAAATGCACAGCCAACGCGGATTATTCATTAGCTGCGGCTTAGTTTTGCTCTGGCTTTAGGTGTTGTTTTATTTTTTCTATCATTTTCAGCGGTTTTTCCTGGCTCTAATTGCCGACCCAACTTCATCGGGTTTTCTCAACTTTTTGCATCGCAAAAGCGTGAATAAAATTCAAATGAAACTTTACTTTTTTTGTTGTAATTGCACTAAAGACGGGTTTTTAGGAATGCAAATAAAAAGTGCTCAAAGCACAGTTGCTGCAAATAAAGTTGACTAATTTGCAGTCCAATGAAAGAAGCTCTGTAATACGTAGTTGGACCTGGGGAACTATCTTTCAGTGAGGAATAATCCAGAATATGTCACTTTTATTCATCAATTATCTCACTCACGATTATTTCCCTTAATTACTAAAACATAAACTCAATTTTCTGCATTTTTTATTGAGCACTCGACGGGCAATCATTAGGTCCAAGAAAGCACTCGACACATAATAAAGAAAAACCAATGAAATGCATGAAAATGGAGTTGTTTGAGTGCTTCAATTTAATAACGATTTAATGATGCCATCAAGGCGTTACATTTATTTAAATATCTATTAGTTAGCGGCGGTCATTAATATTTATTGTCATTGTTGTCTGGCTGTCAGTTGCTCGTTGCGCATTTGTCCTTTTGATGTGGAGGGGCGGTGGGTTCGTTGCTGCCAGAAAAAGACAAACACTCTAAGGACTGGGAAGGGGAATGAATAAGCAGCTAATAAGGCCTAAGAACATAAGCAGACTGGAAGCAAACACACTGCCTCACATAAGTATGTATGCCTACGCATAACGATCTAAAGTAGGCTTATGTAATGTCTATTATTTCAGCGCCACTGTGTTTATCTACACGCACTCTTACTCTGTCTCTCTCTCTTTCCCACTTGCTGCTGCTGCTGCTGCTGCTGCTGCTGCCACTGTGACGTAAACCCACCCCTATTGTCAGCCATCGAGTGCTCTGATTGATGTGGGAAAAAGCAACATGGGTTAATCCATGCATACGGGACTTTGTTTAATTATAGCAAATGAAAAGCGATTTTGATTGACTGCAGCAAGGACTGTGTGTGGGAATTTGTAGGTATTATATTTAATATAGGAAAATTATTGATGATAACCAATTTTCCAGGCCCTCTGAACACATGCCAAAATCGTATTTAAACTCTCCTCCAAAAGAGTGAACAATATATACAATGTCTCATCTCTGCCGCACCCACTATCAACACTTATTTGGCATGGATCTGCTGACAGGCACAATTAATGAATTAAATTCATTTAAAATGGTAAATAAAAAATTAAGTTATGCCCATTTTTGCAGGCTGTCTGTTCGTGCCACAAATTAAATGAAATGAAATGAAATGAAATCAACTTTTGATGCAGCCAAAAATTGCATTACAACAGACTACCAATTAGAAGTGCAGTTTACTAATTTGTCGCATATTTAATTGTCGCCATGGAGATTATTCTGCTGGCTGGTTCAATGCCTTCTGCAGGGTCACAGCACTGAATATTTAGGGGTCTGCATTTTTTTCTGTTCCCCTGTTGGGTCTCAAGTGTAACAGGAAGGTGAACGAACACACAGAGAGCAGAGCTACAGCTCGGTTGATGTATAAATACATCAATATTTATGGGCTGGATTTGTAGCATACTTTACTGGGCTCCAGCCAAGTCCCCTGTGGGCAGAGCCCTGCCGCTCCTTAAAGCTGTTTAATTTGATTAAATGTTCCGCACTTTAAAGGCCACGCCAAGCGGTTAAAAAGGGGCACTCCCTTGATAGAAATGTAGCCCTAAAAATTCACCAAGTAAATAATTTAACGCACTCATTTATGTATAATAATGTGGTGTACATATGCATAGCCCCTGTATACATGCCATATACATACATTTCTACATAGGTATATGTAGACCTAAAAATAAATCTCTTGAGGGTTTGGGGCTGTGCCTCATTTTTGGTTAATACGCTTGATGAAATGGAATATCTATTCGGACGCCCGCTGGGCGCCCGCTAAATGGATTATGAAAATTGGTTTTGATGTGTTTTTTTTTTTTTTTTTTGGGTTTTGCAAATATGCCACAAAGTTGTGGAGGCTTTAAGAAATGTAAGCGGAAGTTGCCAAATTTGCAGACTGTAATTTGATATTTTTAGCTCATTTAACATTGTAAAATCCACTTGCTTAATTTTTCTCAACATAATTTGTTCCTTCCTATTTGATAAATGTTCTCTTGATGATTTTTTCAAATTTCGTAAAGCAAGTAACAAAAAATGCTGCCCTTTTTCATTGACTTACCTCCTTTGCCCGAAACTCAAATCATGACGCGGAATTTTCTTTGCGTTTCCTCAAGTGTGGCTCTCTGTTCTTTTTTATTTTTCCTTTTTTTTTTTGTGGGGTTTTTGCGTGTCTGTTTCAGCTATTTTCACTTCATCATCGTCTGCCGCACTCACTTTTTATTGAACTTTTATTTTATTGTCTCTCGTCACTTGATTTGCTTAGGATCCGCTCCGCTTCTATTTCGGTTCAATTTGTTTACAAATATTTCGATTAAATTTCATATATTTTGTGCTGTGTATTTGTGCGTGGGAAATTGGCTTTCTTGTTTATAATCATTAGATTAAAAAAGAGCACAAAAGATTTCTCAATCCCCAATTAATGTCAGATTACTCCACAAGAATCTCGCTTAATGCAATGCCATTAAACGCTAATTTCCCAAACAAACTCAAAGAACTAAGGGCAGCACTGTGTGTGACCTAGTTTTGGGCACTGCACTGGCACCACACCCATAACTAGGCATCAGTGGTGCTATCTCCGAGGAGCTCAGCGTGTATTAACGTTAATAATGAATGGAACTGCAACTTTTCTGTGCTGGCAAACTTTGAAGTACAGCAAATTGTGGCAAAGGGCCACAGAGAAAATTGCCAACAGCTGAGCTCAAATATTTATGAATATTTATTAGCCGTGAACTGTCGCTTTTTAAGAACTTAATGGAGCCGGACCTGTTGCCGCCTCATTAATGGAATACAATTTCCGTTCGGTTTGCTTGCCGGCGGCAAAGTTAATTATAATATTTCCTACCGTGGGGCGTGGGGCGTGGGGCGAGTGGGGCAAGAAATTGTATTTCTTAACAAATTGCCAACGGCACATTAAACGCAGGCGAATGGAGCAGAAGGAGCAGCACAAATGGAACAGAAATGCAAACCAATTTGTAGTAAATAAAATGACGCCCAAATACGCAACTCAAACCGGAAGACAAACTTTTAACGCCTCCCTCCCACCACACAGCAAACACGCACGAAGAGTTCTCTAACATACATACAAATATATGTATGTATATGTGGCAAGGAAATCCACACAGATGGGCCAAGGCATTGACAGGGCACACGGGGGACTTTGATTTTCAAGACCAAGTGAGAGAAGAAGAAAATCAGCAGAGGTGGAAGCTATGGAAAGTTGCCTTTGATGGAATCTTTAATGCCCTTAAAAAGGAGAAGCTCAAATACGGACAGCAAAAAATACTAGAAGACAAAAGGAAAAATGATTGAGTAAGCGAAAAGTACAAAAAGGAACAAAATAAACACAGAACGAGAATTTAAAGCCAAGAGAAAAGTAATAAGAACAGGAACAGAATGCAGGAATGTTCTAAAAGGAGCGCAAGAGAGGAGAAATATAAAGAAATATTCTGGCAAGGAGCATTGCAATGATTTGTTGTGATCACTGAACACTCAAGAGCAAAAAGAGGTTGAAAAGTGGTCAAAGATGGGTCATTGGAATGAAAGAAAACAGCGATAAAAATATAGAAAATGCCAAAATGTGCTCAAGAAATGGTTGTATATATATTTAACTCACTCTTTACTCCTGAGCGAACAATTTAAAACAAGGCCATTGACAGCAACATAAAATGTAAGACATAAAGGATGGCGGAAATGAAAAGTCTGTAATGAGAAAAGTTCAACTAAAGTAAAGCAATAAAAGAGCTGAAGAGATGAAAGTGCACTAAAATGGTAGGAAATGAAAAATGAATGCAGAGAAGATAAAACAAAGCAATGGCTGAGAGCATTTTAGTGAACAATTGTTGAGATAAATAGCAGCAAGTATTTTGGGCAGGAACATAGGTAGCAAAGCCAGCAACAAACGCGAAATACCCCACTGTGGGGTATTGGAACCACTTAGGCATCGACGCAGGGGGTGGGGACAACAGCAACCTGTAAATAAAGCTCTCTATGGCCGCAGACACACCGCACCGCTGCTGTCTAGGTGGGATTTATGTTTTTGTTTTAATGTTATTTGTTATACTTTTTGGGCAGACGCCCACGCGGCGCCAAGCGATTATTCAACAGCGTCCGAGCCACGTCTTTGAGTCTTTCTTCTGGACTTGGAGTTTTTGTCTGTGGCCGTTTTTATGTGAAATCTTTTCAAGGCTAATTGGATGTTGGGTTTTTTCTTTATTTTAATTGAAATTTGCTTTTCGCTTTTCAATGGAAACAAAACGCAGTACAGTGAGGCTTCCATCCACACACACACACACACACACACACAGAGAGAGAATTAAAGGCAGAGACAAAGTGCTTCCCCGTTGTATATGTACCGTTATGTTTGGTGTCGCACAACCAACGCTTTAGCAACTCCGCCACGAACTGTTACCGTTATCCCACGGCTGCAGCAGCGCCCAACGCCAAAGTCCGTTTCGTGCTTTTGCGAGAGAGCGAAAGTCGAACTTCGTTTTGCCGCCCGCGCGGCACTCTCTCTTGAGTGCTTCGTGTGCTCTCTCTCTCTCTCTCTCTCTCTCTCGCTCTTGCATGCACGCACTGCCTGACTGGACTTCTGGCTGTTATCAGTTTGATTTGATTTCACTTGGCAGAGTCCTCGCACAATTTGCTATCGCTTGGCCCAGGGGTAAGAGTGAGAGAGAGAGAGCGAGTGCGTTTTCAAGGATGTTTTCCATACTCACCACACTTGTCTCTCTCTCTCTGTCTTTTGGGTGTCGCTCCTCTGACAGACACCTGTAGTGTCGGTAGGGTATGGTGTGGTATGACGAAGGAAAGCTTTCGCCTGGCAATCACTCAACTGGCGCTGTTTTCATGTTGTGCTTGCAAATTTGCATACACTAATAATCTGCATTCTCAATGATGTTCCTGCATATTTGTGGCTGATTAAATTTGCTGTTCAATTTGTCAATGCAATATCCATAAATTTAATTTTGAATTGCTTTTAATCGCAGAAATATTACATATTAATTGTATTTGTATGTAAATAAACTTTTGCGAGCTTTAAATGAACATTTGGGGTTAATATTCAACCCCAAGTTCTCCCCCGGTATCTAAGTTCATTAAGGAACAAAACCCAAGCAGCCCCAAAGTCGCAGTCAGACTTCTTATCCACACTTCGGCGGTTACTAGGGTGAAGTAACCTCGTATAAATGAGGCTACCCCCCAAATGTCTTATAAATAAGCGCCACACAAACACTCGCACACGGCACATGTTGTGTGAGCAGAGGGCGAGGGTCATATCATGGTCCCTCTCGACTGGGCATTGCATTTTTAGCCTCAATTACTCAAACAGCAACAACAACCTGTTGTGTTAGCTCCCCCTTTGCCACCGCTACTTCAGCTCACTTTCTTAACCCTCACGTGCCCCCGACATTAACCGTTTCAGTATAAAATTGTTGCTACACTCTGAATGAACTCTTAAAAGTGCCCTGACATTTCACAGGGGTCACGTGGCACATGCCCCTGGACCGGGTGTCGTCCTTATTTATTCAATACGCGCTGTCTCAAGCCGGAGCGAGAGGGAGTCGCTCTCTATGTGTAGCAGACCCTCTCACCCCCTGCCTCTCTGGCTGGGGCCACAGCAACAGTTGACGTAATTTGCAGGTAATATGTGTGGCCTGTTGCTTCTGTTTTTTTCCCTCACAGACATTGACCAGAAAGGACACACTGCTACTCCCTTCACCTTACTCCCTTAGCCTGATTCCCTTTCTGGCAATGCCTCCATTTACTTTCTTTTTGGCCATCTCTTTTCGGTGTTCACTGAGAAAAATATTTGTTCTTTAAGTACAGAAATGAATGCATTAAAATTCGTAATTTAACATTAGGAAAAATTAGGCATTGTAGAAACTAAATAATAGCAAAAGCAACAGCCTGAAAACTGACTTATATAAAAGTAGTGACACCGCTGTAGACGCGTCTCACAACGTTCTTCTTTGCTTTAAACGTATTTGTGATGCCTTCAGATGCCTAACAAAATCCTAAATCTTAATTTAACAAACTGACTACCAAGTACTTACGCGTAAATGAAATATACATAAAATAACTACAACTTTTCTCTTAGTGTCTCGGTCCTGCACAAACGACAACCAATCGAGTCTCATATTGATTTATGGTTTCAGAGAGTGTGTACTTGTCATTCAAAGCATGCATCAATGGCAAAGCGTAATATAAAACACTCACTTTGTCTAGCACAAAAAGAGTAAAACATATGGGCAAAAAGAGAGCAAAGAGCGAGGAAAATTGTAACCCAGTAGAAAATCAATTAAATTTGACACTCTTTCCATGTGCTGTACGTAAAATGTGAGAATTAATTAAATCTCCGTGCCATGCCCCTTGGTTTCCGATTCATTTTCCGACTGTGTCAAGTCAATTGATTGAACCCAAAAACCGAAATGCAATTTTAAACCAAAAACCTCACTCTCCTGTCCATTGCAAAAGGGAAAGAGCAAAAGGCGTTACATATTTCTGCACACATTTCCGTTGCACTAAACGTGATTGAAAGCGGAAATTGCTTCATGTTCTTTTTACACTTTGCCTCCTGGGCTCTGCTTTCACAGCCTCTGGCCTTTTCTTCTCGTTTCTGGCTTCCGTTTGATGGCCGCAAACTGTCGAATGGCTCCACCGACTGACTGATGACTGGCAAATTGTGTTTTTCAATTTGACATTTGGTAGAAATTGTGTTAGTAACCTCCGCCGTCCGCCGTCCGCCGTCCGCCCTCCGCCGTCCGCCGTCAGTCGTCCTCTGTCGACATCCCTTCATGATGAACCCAAAGTGTTGGATGATGCGATTATCGCAACGGGGCTCAACAGAAGCTTGCCACGTTGGTCTCTATGTGTGTCTGTCTGTCGTTGGTGTCCCTTCGATTTTCCCATTTCCAACTCAATGCCTGTGGACAGCTGTGCTGGGCTAAAATGAGGAGAAACGCTGTGAGACGCATCTAAAGCCGCGTCACTACTTAAATTATTAGAAAGAAATATCATACCAGCTCGCAGCATAAAAAACTCCCGACCAATGGTATCATTAAATATTTATTTTAGGTTTTAGCATTGTTTAGGTACACTTGAAAGTGCTGTAAGTATTTTATACCAACATCTAAAGGTGTAAATTCCATACGTACACTTTTATAGAGCATTTCCCTCTTCGACTTGCCACAGCAATTGCTTCATAGTTACTTGTAACAAAAAGAATAAAACGTACTCGCTACAAAAGTGTGCTAGAAAAATGTAATGGCATTCAAATTGCT